AACGTCTCTCTTTCTTTCATTCTTCCAAAATACAATCGTTCGGATTTTTTTTCTCCAATTTCCGAACGATACAACAAGTTCGCAATCACGGTTAAACAACGTATACTATATTACATGTATCGCGGTGTTCGTCGCCACGATTCGAAGAGAAATTTCCACGTGTGCATATATAAAAATCGGAGGAGATAATGTGTCGTTGCTATGTACAATTTCGCGTGGAAGGCATATGGTTACACGAAAGAAAACAACTTCGTAAACGAAGCGATTACAATTAATACGTATACATACATGTATATATATGTATATCCACGTAACACTCATACACGTACACGATCGATAACACTTGAATATATCGTAACTTGAATCACGCGACAACGTAAACCTCACGTACGTTTCCCCTCCGTCGATTCTCAAAAACTCGTAGAAATCGTGTAACAATTCTAATTAGAAATCGGAAATTCAACGCAATCTTTGATTATCCTCGGCTGACATTTCTCGCGCGAGCCTGTCTCGAATTTCATTTTCGAGCGACACAAAAATAAGAACAACAACCGTTTGAAAAATACATATATGTATACCATGTGCTCCGTTTGACAAACGATTCACTCTAGCCGTTCTATCATCGTATATAAAAATCCTGCCGACTTCCGGTGACTGCGCTCGAGCCGATCGTCGATTAAGAACAGGAAAATGTGTATAGAGAAAATGTTATTTTCTTTTTTTCTGTGTGCGCAGCGTGTTTTTTGAGCTGGTTCGGTCGTGATCAACGACGCGATCAGCTCGTACAAATATATCATCGTCATCGTCGATTATTATTATTATTATTAAAATACTCGGTGTAAAAATAGGTACGATACAGGATGACCGCGTCTTATGGTCGGTACCCCTGTGTTTCAGACGAAAAAAAAAAAAAAATTTGATTCAGCCGATCCTTTATCTTCCTCGCCGGAAGTCCCAGCAAATCGAACCCTCGCATCGTCGACAAAATTACTACCGGAAGGATATTTCGGACAATCGTTCGTCCGTTTTAAAAAAGTGCCCGGAAGTTGGTCGAAACGATTCCCTATCTTTGTTCTTCGTCTTCTCGTCCCACGTGAAATGTCGAGGTCCTCGCCCAGCGTGTCCTTGTCCAAGCTTAACGTGGGACCGAGTGAAATTGCTCGAAAGCCGTTTTCAGCGGTTCTTTTTCTTCTTTTTCCTTATATGCTTCCTTTTCTTTCTCTTTCTGTTCAATGATTTCGCCTTCGAGGGGTACTCGGTCGTCCCCTCTATGTTTCTTTGTCGCTCTCGCGTCGATTGAACGTCGGTTATCGGTGACGACTCGGGGCGTCGCGACGCCCCCGGGTCTCAGGTCACGTCCAGTACGAGTCCGTGAACCCAATCGTCGGCTGGCTGCTACGTCAGCAGTTTGAAGAACATCAGGGCTAAGGATATGTTGATGAAGAGCACCAGCATCACTAGCTGCTGCCTCGAGAACCAGTCCTGCAAAATTGTAATCACCGTTAAAAATACCGCGGAAGATCGTTGACATTTAACGTGTTAATCGATTCTCGCGTAAAGTCTATCTTTTGAAAGAACCACGTGATAATCGAATGGGTTGGCAATGTCTCGTTTACGAGTTTCGGATGAATCGTAAATCAAGCGAAAGTTCCAGCCACAATCGGCGGAGCTTCGTCGTACGATAAAAAGCGGAATAAATTAACCGTGTCTTGATAAAAGATTCATGACACGAGGATAATGTTATTCTAAACACCGCGCCGGTTAAGGAATTGACGACTTAAACAGCCGCAGATTGCTTTCATAACGCTGCTAGTTGGAATTCATATTTGCAAATCGTATTGTTGTTTTCGCGAATTTGACTTTGCTTCGGTAAAGATGAAGTTGAGAAAGCGATAAATAAAATGTGCTCCTCGTTATTGTACGAGTGAATCAGTCGATTCTATCGAAGTTTAATTGAGAAGCGAACGTTAAAGAGGATCGATTGCTTCCGCGTTACGCTTGAAATGCAAAATATGCCCCAGTGTCAGGTGGAACGGATATTGAAAACGATCGCCGGCCGATCAGACGGTTATAATCACGTATCGATACGCGTGCGACCTACTCTTGTAATCAACTGATAAGGATGTTTTTGCGTCGTCGATTCGAGCATCAGCTCTTTTATTCCCCCGTCTCTTCGATTTTCGTTCCAAGGCCTCGTGTCACCCACTCTTGTATTACGTCTAATTCTCTCTGCGTTCTACGCAATATCGCGATCTTGATTCCTCGAGGTCGTTGTTCCTTTTCTTTTTATGTATTATCGTTTCTTGAACGCGACCGCGGATGGTCGGACGCATTTCCTCGCGGGAAAACTTCGTTTCATTGGACGACATCCGGGAAAATGAGTGGCTTGTTTAATTTCAACGCACTGATATCGATATGTACTGTTATCGAACGAGCGTTTAATTAGAATACTTGTTTACCGAATTACAATTACCAAACTTGTGTACATATTTGCATTGAGCCTGGAATTGAAATTTACCTCTTTCTGATTGTATCATCATAACTACTGGGATACTCTGTGTAACAAATATTCTTTGCGTTTGTTAGTTACATTTAATAATCGTACTTATCGTAGAATAAGCATTTTAATGCACGTTGACAGTATTATCTAGAGAGGTTACAAAATCATTAATAGAAACAACGATAACTTTGAAAGAAGGTTGAGAAGGCTGATAGCTGGTCCCCCTAATTACACTCGCCTTGTCCCCGTTATCTCTGATTTTCCCCTTTTCTACCACCGATACGTCTATTCTTCATTCTGTCAACGCTAATCTATCGAGGTTAGATTAACGTCATTAATAATACCGTAATGGAAGCATTGATTAATATATTCCCGATGAAACGAAAAATTTTGATTCGTGCTAGACGTGTTAAAATAATCCAATAAAATAGTAGATTCTCTACTATCCGGGGTTGATACTCACTTTAACCTGAGGACTGACCAAGTAGAGCAGAGGATTGGCCCTGAGCCTTTCGCTCTCGTCGATCTGTCTACGAATTTCTTCCCTTCTCATGCTGCTCAACACGCTCACTTCCTCCCTGGACAAGGGTGCCGTCGCAGTCAGCTGGATCGGCTGAGCCACATCCGGTAACGATTTCTTCCGTTGAAGGGACACCGACGGCGTGGGCATCGCCTGTTTGATGAAAAGAAAACGAGAAACAAGGAGAGAGAGGTGGCTCTTGTACACGATTGCTCGTCTAAAGCTTCACATCTACATTCGCAACGAACCCTTGTAAACTTTCTCCAAATTCATCGAAAAGCTTCTGTTCGAAAGAATCTTTTCTTACATGGGTTTGTTCGAATTATGAATGCGGTCTAAGGATGCACGTCTAGGGGACCGATTATAGGCCCTTTGCTCTTATCGTGAGACAATCTACGCTAGAGTCGTTGATTTATCGGATACCTGGTTAAACAAAAGTCATCCAATTAGGAGGCTTTCTAATAATGTCTGTAAATTAAAATAAAGACATTTGAAATCCGTCGTTTGAACGTTCGTGTCGATTTGTTTGGCTCGCGGACGTTTACGCGTTCATTAGTTCCACAGTTTTGAAGAAGACAGAGCGAAGAAGAGATCGAGGGGAGGAAGGCAAGGAATCCTTGGACCAGTTCCAAAACGCGCAACCTCGCCTCGTAATCGCGCGTAATAATGATGCAAAGGCCGGGAATGCTAGATGCGTTGACCTTCGACACTGATTTTTCTCCCATCTTCCGAGAAACCGATAAGGAAACGGTTGAGATCATCTCGAGCGCGTGCATTGGTATCAGTCTGATTGACCTTTCGCGATGTCGTATAACTTGCATGATTTTTATTCGATCGAATAAACAATTAAAAGTCCACGGCCAAGGGGAAGGTGGTTGAAGGTTCGAATAAACGATTTTCTTGGATATGTCGATGGAAACTTGAGACGTTCAGAATAGACTAATCGTAAACAGAGTTTTTTCTTAAGAAATAAGCGATGAGTTTTATTTATTAACGTTGGAGTAAAAGCAAGCTGGCGATTATCTTTCGCTCGCTTAACTTATCCGCGTTTCAGTTGGCGTAAAATTAGACCGACGCGGCGCCCCTGCTTCCTTCGGCGATAATTTTTGCCGATACCGTTAATTAGCCTCGATCGCGATGCTCGTCTTATTTTCTTGTTGTATCTTTCGACACGGGTCGTTGAATCCCCGTTCTGAGGTTTCGAGGCTGTTTCCTTTGATACGCTCTCAATTGCACCGATAACGTTCCGTCATGTCTGACTGGAAAAGCCTTACTTTCATTCTCGATGCTCTTATTAGTAAACTTCACTTGGCCAGCGATTTCATTTGCGTTTATCTTCGCGAATCTTTTATCTACCTCTCTTACATTTCAAAATAATAATCGACTGTCTTTCAACACTTTGAACTGCACGAAAGTCACTGAAAGTTCTACCATTAGGGTGCGTTTACCTTTCTACCCCAGCAATGACTTATCGCGTGTAATTACGAATGAAAATTAGAATTAGGTAACAGCAGATCCTTGACCTGCTTTTCTTAGACAAACATTGTGCACACGTCAATGCGATTGTCCCTATAAAATGGACGACAGATTCTGTCGTATACGATCATTCGTATACGATTGACACGACGGTGAAACCAAAAATTGGTAGATTTATATGCGTATAAAGTAAATTGAAATCTGAGTCATGGAGGATACAATAGTCGTACCTCCACGGGAGGTGACACTATCCACGACTCCGAGGCTCGCCTGGCCATGAGAGCAGGGCTGCATAGTAGCGCCTCTTCTTCCTCATCCGGTTCCGACCACAACATCTCGAAAAAAGGAAGATCCTTTTCTTGAAAAAAATCAAACAACTCGTTCGAAACACCAGCGGATACTTCAAACTTTCACGGACAATCTCTGAACATTTTGATCGTGTTCCTCGTCACGTTTCTTCTTAAATTGAACAAAGTTTCTCTCCTTCCCTTCGGATGATTTTGCTTGGTTTTTTTTCTGTTTTTTTTTTTCCTTTAACAAATCATGGACGGAAAACGATTTTTCCTGTAGAACACGACGATAAGGTAAGGAAATTCGGATTCGTGGCCTCCTGGTGAGGAAGCTAGGCCGCAGACTGAACGGCCCTGGCTCGTTCGACCGAAATAGAGAGACGCCCCACTATTTTCACGTCGAAATAGCATCGGCTAGTAACGCGTCCCGACGCTGTCAGCCGTGTACCGTTGGCGACGACGATGCCAGAGAATCGTCAATCCTGTCGGTTCTGTCGTTGATTTATCACATCTTGTCGTTGGACAGTTTTCTTCGTGTTAGCTTTTGTACTTTAGGTATCCACGAAGAGAATCCGTCGCTATCGAACACAACGGACGCTCGGTATCGATCGGTATTTTTAGTCGAGCCCCGGCATTTTGGTGACCGGATGTTGAGCAGTTTACGACCGACACTTCGCTACCCGAACGAACAGCAGAACTGTTTGTTTTCATTTCAGCATTGAACTTGGGATTTTTCGGGCCGCTGTAACCGCTCGTTTATTTTCGTCCGCGCGATCTTTGAACGGGATTCGATTCAATGGAAATTAACAAACTTCCTGATATTTCTCAATCTTTTCAACCCTTTTTAACATATTTCTTACATCCACTATCGGAAACGGAAAAATTTCTTATCTCATCATTTAGTAATTGATAATTAGTGAAGAATTTCACAAGAATTATAATTTGTACGAACGATCCGCGTTTTACAACCAATCGAGTGCAATGTATAAAAAATGATATAGCTTCGGTTATAAAATAAGAATAACGTATTCATTCGATCAGAAGGTAAATCGTTCGGTATTAATGGAAGGCTTAAACGAAGAATCGTGTAGAGTTTATGCAACACGGTAAAGATGGTGGAAAGAGAAGCGATGCAAAGGCGAGAATCATCGGGGATCGTTCACGGTCGAAACGCGACCGGAAATATCGTTGCGCAAATAAAGTCGAACCTGCAATTCGCGGCTGTCTGATTCACGTGGTTGGCATGCGAATAAATTCGTCGAGGTTTTCGAGAATTCTGTGCTCGATCCTCGCCACGCCAAAATGGGCCTCGGTTATCTCTTCATTTGCGTTTTCTGTTTTCTTCATTGCGTCTCAATTTGACTCAATTTCTCTTATGTCGAAATAAAAAAAAAATTGATACTGATAAACACTACATAAACTTGTTATATTTTTCCTCTTTCGGTAAATGTTTTATGTTCTTGAATTAATTGCGTTGAGATATTACTTATTGTTAATTAAAGGTTATCGATATTTCTGCGAATATTGATATCAGATATCTTATCAAGCATTCAATTGTTTCAATACAGAATTGTTCTTCTGCCGGAAGGTCGACGACGCACGGTACTTAGGCTTTGGAGTTTAGAAAGTAGTTGATAGCCTTCTCCATTAATGGCGTTAAATTATCATTTCTTATAATATATAATCATAATTTCTTCAAAAATTCGGTGTTTTATATGCCATCTAATTGAATATCGACGAGCTGTTCAAATGAATCATTTTAATTTCTCTCATAAAATAACCTCAGCGACGCGTCCGGCCTATTTTGTAATTCAAAATGAGCACTTGAACCGTGTCGAATGTTTGCTTTCGACAGTCGACCGATTAATCGTCGAATTTTAAGCTCGTCCGCGTACAGTGCAGCACTAATTAGCCTTGTTAATCGGCGCGATATACTCATTTCACGAGGGTATTTTATTACCGTGATCTCTCGACCCGTTACTTATCAATGTGCGAGGTAACCGTCACGACAAGCCATCGTCGCCTTTTTCTTTCCTTTCAACCGTTATCTTTTTCTAACAATTTCTTTCCTCTTCTGAATTATCATGGAGTGCTCGATTCTTCGATTCTTTGTCGAGCAAACGGATATCCGGAATTTTCTATCCTACTCGTCTCGACCAGCTGGTTTACATAGCTAATTTACGGTGGAATGAATTCCTCGAGGAGGGACGTTGACTCGGTCGTCCTGTCATACAAACCGACTGGGATACAATCGATCATAAATGTGCAAATGGCGTTCTAGAGGCTTCGTTGTGGCACGTTTTGCATTGCAGATTTCTTGTTTACGTTTCGTGTATATATCGATTCGTAAGAGACCGAATTACGTATACATAGGAAGAAAATATCACATGTTTTGTAATTTCTGTTGGACCGATGTGTTGGTCGATGAAACATCGTGTCTGTCGATAGGAAGCAAAAGCAACTTTCCATGGTCGAATAAAAATAAATGGAGAACTTTTACGATAGAAAAATGAGCGAATAAGAGCCATTGTGCTCGGAAACGAATAGGGTAAACGAGGCCATTAACAATGCCGTTTAGGAATTCGTGTTTCTCCTCCGTTCTCGCGAACCCAGCTACAAAAATATCGTCCGTTGTTTTCACGCCAATACGTTATTGTCTGGACGAGTGCAGACCCAGCGCCGTCAATTTACGCGTTTCTTGGCACGACCGTCATGTCCAATTAAACCGAGCTTACTTTGTTACGCAAAGTACAGCACACGATAAGATTTCTCGTGTTCTCTTCGAGTTCCCAGTGAATTGTTTTTCAGCCTTTAACCCTTGGATCTTTGCTCACCCAACGTATGATTTCGAGCTTTAAAATTTTTTTTCATTCGAATATAATAAATTTTATACTATTTTCCTAAACATTATTAAAAAAAAGAAAAAAAAGAAATAGCGAATGGTCGAGGTTAGCAATATTTCAGATACCACATAGTCCTCCTAATCGACATGCTTTTAATCTGTCGGCCAGTAACAGCTTTTACATCATATACATAAATACACACTCAATACATCGAACCAACGTTTTTTTAACATCGTTGTTTAATTAACGTAAGAGACGCGACCCTTCGAAATCGTTCCTCGAAATGCAACCTGAAAGTACATACATACGTGTACGTTTACGCGTGTATCGTTCTACGTTGATTCTTTCTAAATACAACACTACGACTCGTTTTTCGATATTAAAATACGTATCTCCTTCTACGTTATACTCTTCGTTCAATGTCTTCTCTAAATCGTTTCTATCGCTTCGTTGAGTACATTGGAAACGAAATTTGAGCATCTCGTCGCGCATAGAATATTCCAAATTGTTGTAAATGAAAATTCTCCACTCCTATTTGATTTTCATTTATACGACAATTAATATTTTAATTTTCAATTCTGATTATCGTAGGTCTTGATAAATGATAAAATTTTTATTTTAACGCGAACAACGTGATATACTAATAATTTTTATAAAATAAAACTTGGAACATTTTGTAAAATATAACTCGTGATTATTTTTTAATCCTGCACAGTACCAAAATGTCGGCTGTACTGGCGCAGAAAATCGATCGACAATTAGAAAATGATCAAATTTCATTTGTTTGCGCGATACCCAGTTGAATCGCATGTCGCAAGAACGGGCTCCCGAGGAAAGACACTTTTCGAAAAGCTTGGCACTCGAACAAACCCCGACTGTTATTTCGCATAAAAAATAGGTTCGAACGGTCAAGGAACTTGGGGTAGACTCAATTTCAACCGAGCTACGTCCTCAAAATTATTTTCGTTCCCTGTCGAAAAAGATTCCAGGTTTCATTCGATCCTCGTTATCGAACTCTTAATTCGCTCACTTATTTAGGCACGACCGTTGTTGAGGTACAATTGCGACCACGTTGAACAGACAAATTGTAAGATATTTCATAAAAATTTCCCAACTGCTGTTTCCTCCACTTTCCCTTTCGTCGTGTAAAAAAGCTCGTGATCTGTTTTTTTTTTTATTTTTGTTCGCGTAGAAACAGTTAAAAAGGTTCCCGTAAAAATTCTTAATTACACTTCGACCTTATACCTTGAGCAACGTGTTAAGAATTAGGTAATGTTTCTTTTTTATTATTATTATGTTTCGTCGAAAGAAGTGCTTTGAACGCACGTCCTCGTAAAATACGTTGGCATTAACTCTTGGATCGTTAAAAAACGTGTATGTATTAGGGAAATTCAACGTGGCGCACCAAAGGCGTTCGTAATTGTACTTGTGAATAACTAAGCGATTAAAATAGAGATCTAATACCTTGTGTGGATGTGTGTTGGGTCGTACCTAATGCACACGAGTAGTATTATTTTCACGGGTTTAGTAATGCACATTTGGTACCGACGTTTTGTGCTTGTTCACTGACGTGGATCAACCTCTTCGAGGAATAACGTAAAAAAAAAAAAAAAAAAAATAAAAAGAAAAAGAATGTTAATATCTATCGTGTCGTAGAAACATCTAATTTTGTTGGAGTGTGCCAGTTCTCGAAATGACGAGTCAGGATTTTGAAACTTTCTATAAACGCTAGGAACGTGAGGGTACCCAAAATTATTGAGTACCTAAGCTCGATTTCAAAGATGATTTGTTTAAAAAGTTTTATAAACGACCCTTAATTTCGGGTACCAGCACACCTCAGCTAATTTTACTTACGTTAAATAAAAATGAAGAAAAGTTTTTCTTAGACATTTATAAACGAAGCCTACGAAAGGATCTCGAAATGGTGAACCATCGTCGTTCTTTTTATTACAGTATTGCCAGCTAATTGATTATTTTCGCACTACGTATCTCCTCGTACTTAAACTTCTACGAAATATATATATAATATATGGGTATCTGGTATGTGTGTGTATATACATAACGTGTACATCCCATTCTGTGGAACTGGTACAATATTATCATTATATATATATATATAGACTTCATAGAGTGACGCTACGTCATATAGAAGCATGCGTTAGAAAAATAATGTTTCTGATCAAAAAACAGGAAGAAAACAAGCGGCGTGGAGGTGGAGGGTGAAGATTATTATCCTGTTGCTCGTTCGAAGTCACGAAACGTGGAACAAGGAAAAGGGGTTGATTTTCGTATACGTATTAAGGGACGGAGAACGAATTTTAACACTGACGAACGGGGTAGAGAAATTTTCGAATTTGAAAAATAAGGGGATTAGGGTTTCTTCGTTGTAGGGTTCGAAGCTTGTCAAAGAACAAAATTGGAGAGACAGTATATGCGATATATGATTGGTGGAAAACCGGTCCCCGCCTCCACACCGCGCGTGAACCTTACCTTTCGAATCCCTCGAATCGCTTAATTAATGGACGTTAACATCATCATCATCATCATCATCATCATCGCGTTACTTCAATCGATTAATGGACGTAACACCGTGCAATTTGGTGAATCGAAGATCGTTTTCTGTGCATGTGTTCAGACGGGGTTACGTTGAAACCAATATCAGATTTCACAGACAAGGTTAACCCTTGTACCTTAACCAGATAGTTGGTGAATCAGTGATTTCAAAGTAACCCCTTTAAATGGGTGCTCGTCATTTTCGTCCATCTTCGAGTTCTCGAAGAAGACTACTTTGACGTGGTGAAGAAAGAAAGAAAGACGAAGGGAATCATAGCAAATAATCGGCCGATCGTTTGATCGGCGCGAAAGCCCGTGGTATTCAGGTGAATTTTCCTCCATTTCGATATTGCGATCGTATCTTAAACAGTGCTCCACATTTTCTGATAAAAGGAGTTTTCAAATTGTACGATCTATGCATGATTGAAAAGAAAAGTATGCGCGCGAATCGTCTTGGGTTTGAATCACCTTGACCGAGTAAGGATTAAGCAACTCGAAAATCATTGTATCATTGAATTAACAGTCGATCGATGAAACGGATCGCAATAACGACGACAAATTGAGCACAGTCCACCACCACTCGTCGTTCGTTAAAACTATCATAAATATTTGTTCATCCATTCCGCTACGTCTATTGTGCTTCTCGTATAGAAAAATAATTCTGTATCTGACAAGAAGACGGATAGAACGTTGCCTCGTTTCGTTCAATGCCCGGATTCGACGTGAACCCTTTCAATCTCGAGAAGAAATATTCACTCCTGTTCCTTTTCTTAGCGTTCCCAAATTTCCAATATGAAATATTCGATTCGAGGATGAAAGGGTTGACCGTCTATCGATCTTCAGCGCGAATTATCTACACGGTAGAGCTAGTGAACAATCTATGACCAGGTACGAGTGTCTTCACACTTTGAGAATCTCGACATCTCTGTTTGGAAATAAAATTTGCAAAAACCGTGGCGACGATTCGTCTGGTAAGAAAAGTCAAATGAAATTGAAATCAATTTCAACCGCGATACACCTTTCGAACTGCACTAATGGTACTCGGATCATCGATGAATCATGACTCGTTGCCACGGGATGACAGAATTTAACCCTTGACCGAAGGACCACTGCGTCAACAGTGATATAAATTGAATTTTCTGCCCGATTTAAAGTCTGACAAACTTTTCTGTGTCCAACTTCGATTCGCGTATCATTGTATACGGTTTGTAGATTTGGGTTATCACTGACCCAGGCTCCGCCGTTCCAGGGTTTGATCAAAGTAACAATTAACGCGTTCACTGTCTCGAGGCTATCAGTGACTGGTACGTTAAATTTTGCGCAAAGGAAAGAAAACAGAAGGTAAAATGAAAAATGAAATTTGAAAGTTTGACCGATCGTTTTACAACGCGTATCCATTCGACGGATCAACGGGTTGTAATTTTTCACATCGTTAATTCGATGGTCCGCTAAACAATTTCTCTACGTTACAGTTTGCATTTTTCTGTATTTCATCTTTCAATGGAATGTTAACCGAGTCACGATAGACTTACGGTGAAAAGCTTCCGGTGTCTGGCACGCGCAGTTCGTCGAGACTAAAGTGCCGATCTGAAAATATTTTACTCTTTGACGCGCACCAAACAACGGTTCCGGTCTCTGTTCCCGTTAACACGTCGCCTCGTGTAAACCGTGACTTTATACATGAAACGAGTCGAGTTCGTTCAGAGATCGAACGAGTTATACGATTGATCGAATCTCTTTGCGAGATTGAAATCGTCGAAATGTTGGACAGAGACACCAATCGCTGGTTGTATCAGGTAATTGGAATGCGTGTTTTCAGAGTGAATTCATTGGAATGTTCATCGAGCCTCGAGAAATTATAGGGAACTATTTGATTCGGATAGACCAAGGATTTTTGAACGAAGGCAAAGTCTACTTCGATGATTCGCCCGTTTAAAATATTAATTTTCGATTTATCTTCTCCTTCGAGGAAAACTGGAATACTCCTTTTGTAAATCTGGGTTATAATTAACCCGTCCGTCAGCGTTCGAGGGTTAAATTATACCCATCTTTAGTACAGATTATTATATCAATATCTCGAGTGAATATTCTTAATTTCATTCGAAAATCCAAGGTCTGCTCTCTATCGATAGCCCATCTTAAATTGTTCTGATTCGTGACGAAACACGAAAGAATTTTTCTCGATATTCTATCGCAGTGTGCGTGTGCGTGTGTGTATATGTTTGCGTTAGGTGCACATGTAGGTATGTTTGTGTTTCCGGTTGTGTACATATTATTATAATACTTATACTCAGAGGGTTGCGCGGCCCTTGGACGCTGCGGCGAAGGCGGGGACCGTCCGGCCTGCGTCCTGGGATGGCATGCACAGAACACAGCACAAAATGCCACACAGTTACACAGACAAACAAATCGACAAAAAGAAAAGGTAGAGAGACAGTAAGAACCTAGTTGGAATTTTGGGACTACCATTGGGACACGTATTATTTAATTAAACATGGGGATGATCGAAAGGGATCAAAAAGAAAAAGGAACTTTGCCTAATGTTCCTGCGTTTCGCGTTCGAAGTCGTTGATTAACAGGTGGAAATTAAAGGGACTGCTGTCTATTTCGCTTACCTAATTTATTAGGTTGTTCACTATACAAGTAAAATTGGACGGTGTTTAAACCATTGACTGATAGGCGACTAACGAGCAAGCAGAATGAAATGAGGAATAGAATTATTATAGAAAATCTGATGGAATTGTTGGACGGATGGTTTCGCTGTTGAACGATCACGTTTCACCAAAGATATTTCACTGTAAACACGGAATCTTCTCGCGAATAACAGCCATTGTTATCTTGTTTAAAGTCTAACGATATTTTCGACGCGTTTCGACGAAAAAATTGTGAATCCTTCGCCAAGCAGTTTCCGGTTCTCGCGATGATGTAGTTTCACGAATCGGGAGACTTGGTGAAAACAGACTCGCAAATGATGTACGCTATATAGGGGGAACCAGGCTGATAAGAGAATCATGAATCTATTTGGATCTTTGAATCTCTTATAAAATATAGTGCATAGCGGTGTTCCTTTAAAAGATACATTAAATTGTACATCACTTAGATGTATATGTCAATATTTTATACAATCTATTTTTTAAATTCATTCCATTGTATCTCCGTTGATGCTGTACACGGTCTATTCAGAGAAATCAAAAGATTGGGAAAAGATTGATTTAGGGAATCAATCGAGATCCAAAAAGTTTCACGGCTTCTCCTCGGAGCCCGGTTGCTTGAGTGCAAGGATGACGATATTCGCGTGACAAATAGAGAGTAAGAAAGAAAGAGAGGAATATGCGAATGTAATAATATCTATGTGAAAGATAATAAGTAGATAAAAGAGGAGGACTCACCTTCGGTAAGCCGCCCCCGCCGCCACTTGCGCCACCGGATACGGTCGGTCCTCGTCCCGGTGTTACGTACAGGCTTTCCGTACGTTTAGGCTGACCTTGACTCGGCAAAATGTCTTGTCCAAGGTTACGATTCTTCAGAAGCGCCCCTTCGAATTGACTGGAAGTCGATGCGGCGTACGTCGGCGTCGCTGTACCACTTCCAACCACCGATCCATTCAACGGTGTGCCTGATCGCATCGCGCTTGGTGCTCTCGTTGACCTACATTTAATTGTTGAACAAATTTACATCCCTTCGATCGAGATTTCTATCTTCGTTGAAGTAGATAAAGGTTTCAAAGACCTCTGTAACTCCTCACTGTATTCGTAGAAGGGTTAAGCCCGGTTAAAATATCGAGAAGTTTTTAATCACCTGTCGAGGATGTCCTGGGGTGGGTTCGTGACGGTTTTATCAATGGATGGCTGTCTCGATCCAGTCAACCGGGAATGCGCTCTAGCGTAACGATCTACCGAACTATCACGACTGGGCGGCCTCTTGTAATGATCTAGCCTGTAAAACCGATCGGTCAGTATCGATCGAATCGGTGAAAGAAGTTTGTAAAACCTGATTTTAATCGAGATGATTTTCGACTAATTACAATATCAGTAAATATCATCTCAACAATCACAGTCACAAAAACCACTAGGATTTCAGTTTTAATCGATAAATTCAAGACCTGTCGTTTAACGTTTGCCCGATGGTGCCCGGTCGATCCTGGGGACTAAGGACCCTGCTGTTTCTTCGTATACTCGTGGAACTCGGTGGTCGTTGCGAATCTGCGACACCGTCGGGTTGATATTGTTGTTGAATTTGCGTCTGTTGATGTTGCTGAGGCGGTGGTTGTTGTTGCTGTCCATATAGCTGCTGAGAATTGTATTGATTCATCTGACCTGGCCCATATTGATTCGGTACTGTTGTCTGAAAAAAATTCAACATTAATCCCGACGTTTCATTAATCTTCGAACGACGAAGTCGAATCATTATTAAAGAATAAGGGTGCAATTAAAGTGATCACCTGTTGATTAGGATAAGCCTGCACGTTCTGATAGCCCTGTGGCCCTAGTGGCTGTTGCTGTTGATACAAATACTGATCAACCTGTGGCGGGCTGATAGGTTGATACGGCGGTTGATTGTACGGGCTACTTTGGCCAGGATACTGATTCTGAGGAGCGTACTGACCGGTTTGGAATTGGCTCGCTTGCTGATACTGATTCGGTATACTGTTAGGATACTGTTGAACAGGATTCTGAGCCATCGACTGAGGATACTGTGTCTGGTAGGGATTCTGAGCACCCATGGTGGTCTGGTTCAACTGACTCATGGGCAGCTGATTGACCAACTGAGCAGGAGTCACTTGATTAGGTATTTCGTTCTGAGTCAGTTGATTTTGTGGCAGCTGATTCTGCGGCAGCTGATTGGACGTCTGTGGTTTCATGCTCGCTCTCCTGATGGATTGCATCACGTTGCTGGCGGTAGAGGTGGCCGAGGTGGTAGTCGTAGACGTGGCTTCCGCAGCCGAGGCAGAACTCTTCATGGGCGTGCTACCTGGCTGATCTACGCTGCCAGTTTTATGGAGGATACTCTTCCCTGGCACGGTGTCCTGGGGCGGTGGCACGTACTTGGGTATCTCCCTGTTCCGCAACCGTTCCAGGCCAGGCTGCCGAAAGTCCGGAGCGAATTGCTTCGCCGTCTGTTGGGCCAGCTCCGAGTCCTCTCTCGCGTGCTCCGCCGCGATGTCCGCTAACTCGGCTCTTCCTCGAGCTGTAGCCGTTCTCGAGATGGCGATATCCGCTTTCTGAAGAGCAATCTTGCTGGCTCTTTGAGCCGCGCTTACCGCCGCCTCTATCCTCTCGCGAAACTTCGCCGATCTGATTAGGAACAGGTGCTTCTTTTTCTGGCTGGTGATCAGCACGTTGTTCTTGTACTTGCCTTCCTCTTTGGTACCGTCGCGAAACTTGGTCACACCGTAACCGTACTTTCGATTGTTGAACCACTCGCCCTCGTATCTCAGGCCGTCGCTTCGTTCCGAGATACCGAAACCTGTCCTCTTGTCGTTCTTCCACTCGCCAAGGTACGTCTCCGTTACTGACGCGTCCATTTGCTCGTCCTACGGAAACATGTGTGTCTTCTTACGTCAAGAAAGAATGCGTTTAGAAACTCGTTTCCCAGATCGATCAGGCTATCAAAGCATATATTCTATGATAATTCATTAATATACTCACCTCGATGACGAAAGACGCGTTGCTGTCCGTGTGAACAGACGCCGAGGCTTGGCTTTGCGAGCTCTCCGTCGACATCCAGGAAGCCGAGCTGGCGTTGCTTCTAATACTTCCGCCACCGGTAGTGCCACGTTTCTCCAGGTCACCGGTACTCCTCTGTTTTCGAATCTTTAGACCCTAAAATCACAATTGTCTCTCAAACTTTTGCTCGAAATTGCGCTTTAATTTGGAAGAATATCAAACCATGCCCTGGAGAAAATGCGCGCGGATAAGTGATCGAGTGGACGATTGGATGGGTATCAGACGAGTGAAACATTTTCGCCAGGCTGGTTCATTGGCGGGATTGAAAAGATACTTTACTGAAAGGATGCCTTTCTTCAAAGACTTCTCGGTGAGACTCTTTCTGCGCGCGGGAGGATCGTCGCTCCTAGCTTTTAAAACAAAACCACCCCTGCTGTCGTCGACGCGACGATCCCTCCTGTCTGTTGGTTCCGGTGTCGGCGCAGCTGCACCCCCGCCATCCGCGCTCCTCAACGACGTTAAGGACGCCCTGACTTGCTTCGATGGCTTGTAATGGCTGGCCAAACCGAACGGTGCACTTGCCCTGACCCCGTAACCGTGTCTCATTCCACGGCACCATTGTCCCTGGTACGTCCCTACAAAAGCATCGTCGTCTCGTTAGTACGGTGCCAGGAATTATCCACAAATATTGAAATTTCAATTCACTTTCAAACTTAATTCTATTATTCTTGACGCGACATCGGTGTGAAACGACAGCTTTGCGATTTAATTCACGAGATGCTCGTAATTCTTGAACGGTGGAAGCTCTAGTGCGGACGAAATAAAATTCAGGTTTCAAGGTAATCGCGAGTCCTCGTCGCAGAATGGTGGAGGAATTGTCTCGTTAAAAAGCAAGGAAAATAGGGACGGTCGGTAGCGAACATTCAACGAAACGTGAAATTCTTCCACGAAACGTCTCGCGGTCTTTAATGACCCGTTTTTTCTTTTTCTTTTTTTACAATCATTGGCCATCCGGTTACATCGGTGGTCTGCAAACGGTCTGCGGTATCTCATCGATGTGGAATTTACATTTTCGAAGAAGAGGAGTTCTCACCCACGCACGCGTCTCCCCAGGGTAATTCCATCCCTGAAGAGAGACCGCGCGAGTGTTACGCGTGACTCATGCGGCACATTTTCAAACTCGGTCGCCTTTTCGCGAAAACAATACGACTTATCGTCAAATGCAACCCGAATACTTGGTTAGAAATGTGATCATCCCAGTGTAGATCTGACCAAACGTTATTGATTCCGTTAGAGACTTGTGTTTCAGAGAATTTTATTCTTTAACTCGGCGGTGAGGGTTAAAGGCTAAAGCAAATCGCTGTCTTTCGGAAACGTTTTCATTGCATCATTTGGCAAACGATAATCATCAAAGTCCCTTCTATTCGGTCAATAACAACAGAGATGCATCGCCGTTTGTCATTGCACATTCACAGTGCATTTCTCCCTTTATGCTATTCACAAAGCAGCCTTCCGTTGAATTCCATTCGTATGTACAACGGTGCATTCCCATCGGATGGTCGCGTTCTTCGACGAAAAATTGCTTCTTTTCAAAGGATTTCCATCGAATGGATATCTCGAGGAAAAATCTGATTGATATGCACTACGGAAGAACGTTGTTTATCCCAAAGAATCTTGATTTCTTCCATTGTGTGCTTGGTCATCGAAGGTATACAACATAACATCACGTTTCGTACCTTGGATTCTAAGCGTGTACAATGGAACACTGTTTCCCGTGTAAGGGTAAAAAGAAATTTCCATGATTTATCCGTTTGGTAAGGTCCGTTAAGAGAAACGAACAGCGGCAGCGACTCGTCTCTTCTGATCGATCGTGGTGGCAGCCTGGTTTCGGAAAAGGGCAAGAGTAAGAGAGACAGAGGGTTAGGAAAATGGAGTCTGCGGACGGCATTATTGCGGCCGACTGTACTTACATATGGAAACGACCACGTACTCCCTTCCAAGCGGAATATTATTTCGCCAGCGTTTAAGCAAGTGGGTCACGCTGTGGTTCTCGACACGCTTCGGCTGCCGATGCGAAAGGAGAACCGGCTTCGCGAAATTGCACCGCCGTAAATCGCATCTAAACGCGCCTCCACCTTCTACTTACTTACTTCTTCTTCGATTCATCTTACTTCTGAACGAATTACCCTCTCGACGTTTCTCATTCTTTTCCCGCTGAAATTTTCACGCTTTTCAGACGGTGTCATTGAAGCTTTTAACCTTCGTCCAAATTACAGAAATCTTTCGACAGATTTGAACGAAATTTTGTACAGTATAAGCAATCGTGAGAGATTCATCTTTGATTTCATCCCCTTGACACTGTGAGACGGTCAAAGAAATTCGCGTCGAAGCTCCAGGCAAGTTATTATCAGAGAGATTTTTGGGGAAGCAGGAGATTAAAATCGCAAGGAAGACGGACAGTCGAGGCTATTCGGGTCAACCGTTGGTCGTCTTTTCGAAAGATCACGATAGAAAAACGTCCGTTCGACGATGTCTCAATGTCTCTGGACGTTTAACGAGTTCGATGCAGACGGTGGCAGCGTGACGAAAAACGGCCACCTATCGATTCGCTCCCGATGACCCAGATTAATTATTGTCGAGCTTCTAATTTCACGACGGTTCGTCTGCTCGTCGTCTGTTTCGTTTGGCGCGGGAACCTTTGCCGGTTATTGAATTTTCCTCTGGCCGTGGCAGGCTTGTTCCACTTCGCGGGATACCTTCCACCGGCGAGCATCGAATTTCGTGCTTTCTCGTTGTTCCAACTTCTTTTCCACCCCGAGTTTTCTCTTTTCATCGAATTATCCTTTTGTTTCATCGCATCGATTGGAAAGCAAGACTCGTCAAGGTTCACGATGCTTAACCCCTGCCTTGTTATTTCTTTGGCCTATGTCCGTCGTTCGTGAAGCAGCGCGATGATCGAGCCGTATGAAGTTTCACTTCACCCGTGCTAAAAATATTGTTTATCCAACAATTTATCGTTAGCTGTGTCTGCATTTTTTCCCCGTCTTCGCGTAATATTCTCGTTCCAGTAGCCTAAACTGATAAGAATTGATCGCAGGTGTTTGAAATTGTTTCTTCAAATATTAGTGTTCCCATAGGTATGTATACCTAGTTTCTTTAAGGCTAAGTATCAAGAAAAGAGCCTTCCAGTGTTTGCCTTTGCTTTTAAGAGAACTTAGGGAGATTCTAACGAAATTTTCTTATTGTAATCGACAGGGATCGATGTTGATCCCATCCCTAATTACAGTCGAAATGACCACGGGTAAACAGAAGCATTTATACGATCCTGTTTCGCTACATGGCACTGGCTGGCCCTCCTGAAATAGCGCGGCCACTGTGCTAAGATGGTGGTTGCTCGCACGTGAAATGTACATTGTACGTGTGCTGGTGAGAATTGGCCGTGCTAGTGTATTTCGGTCCGCAGCTTCCACCAGATCGTCTCCAACTACCCCACGGACCTGTCCCTCTCGACCGTTTGTTTCTCTCGTACGATACCTGAACGTCACCGATGCTCTGTCGCTTACCTAGCCACGCAACCAGGTCGGATTTCGCACCTGACCTCGCTCCTCTCCCTTCTGTCTGTCGTTTCCACGGGAGAAAGGTATCAACGTAGGATCCTTTTCCTCCACCCCCGTTAGCTTCACGCGAGTCAATTGAATATCAATCGAATCGATCGGTAAGCGAAAGGACGATCCGTTCAAGATTTCTCAATTAACCGACCAGCAGCAGGGAGGGAAAGATAATTTGCGTAAAAAAAGACTCGTCTAAAACCGTAACGATTACCCTCGCACCGTCACACAATCAGCCGTGACGCAAGGAGCTCGAAAAACGGAAGTGACGGTAGTTTACAAAGTAGGTGACGCCGGTTTTATCAACGAAAGGCAATCCTCTGTGGAACTACGCTCTGCGAACACGAAGGGGTTGTTAAATACGCACACGCTTCGATCCGAGTAAAAACGAAGAGGAGAAAATTCCCTTCTTTCATTTTTTTTTTTTTCTTTCGAATACAAAATTGAATCGACGACTAACTATGAATCCGAGTGGTCGAGTTTCGAAAGTTTCCGTCGAAAGGAAAAATACTTGTCCGGGTTATTCGAACTGCCTGAAAGTTCTCGATGAGGGGCCAGCAGGTCGCGACACGAGGTCGGAAGCTTGTGAAAGTCGCGGGCGCGATTTATCGTCGGGGCGTGAAAGGTTCAAGAATTCCATTTATTAGCAAGAAGACTCGGTGCAGGTTAATAGGAGGTCAAACTGTTGTGTTTCTCTTCGCTTGTTAGAGCGATCGTACGTTTACGCGTCGAGTCTTACGCGCTCGCACGGCCATTCTCGTCCATTGGCACCAACACACGTGTACGTACCGCCGTTGTATGCCCGCGGTAGCATTGGTATTTATAAATAAATGGCGTCGGCCACGTGCCACGGGAGAAATGGAGAGTGCCTTAACTCGAGCAACAAGCTTAAAACGGCCATGATTTCGGGGCAAGGGGGCGAATCGAGATGGAAGAAGCTCGAACGCGATCGCGTTTGATTGGTTGCTGGATTTTTCGTCGAAACCGCCAGCGATTTTGATGGATATCGAGACGGACGCGTTTTTGAACGGAAGCGATGGTAAAAACGAAGCTTCCCTTTTACTCGATTGGATGAAATAGGAGCAAAGGCAAGGGGAACCGGCACGTTTTGATTATTATTTCTGACTCTTTGAACGCGATAGAAAAATAGAAAGATATTAGATCGTCGAACGATTCGGAGATACTGACACACCGATTCATATCAGATGGGTACGTGTTCGTTAAACGTTCCTTAACTCTGACAGCTTTCGGCTATATTTTTATTTGATCACTTTGTTATATTTTATCCGTTCAACCAGTATCGATCGTAAATCGTACGTTCCGTCACGTTGTACGTTCGATAAAACGCTGGTGCAAACGAAAATATCCTATTCTGGCAGACGTTGCGCTTTCTTGGACGCGATAAGATTTTCACTTTGCGTCCAAGTTGCGCGGCAACACGTTGCCTCTAATTTTAGAGGTATATACCGTACCGTCGGTTTTCATTGACGAAAATTCGCAACGTCGTTCGAAATAAGAAATGAACACGGAGCAGAAGCGAAGTCTCAATCAGGGAACTTGAACGAAAATACGAAGTACCGATATTATATCAGGATTACCGATCATTAGAACTCGTCGATATTATTAGAACAGCTCTGTACAGGTTACGATAATTTAAGGAACGCGGGTATTTATGTAACCGTGTGACGTAGATTTATAACATTGTTGTACGAGCGCCGGTAGCACTGTTGCTGCCAAATATCGCGGTATAAAAATGGATGGTTCTATAACTAACGTTGAATAAGATAGATCGACCGACGAGAAGGAGAAACTCTTTTTCTTTCCGTTTCATTTAGCAGTCGCGAAGCGTTGTTCGACGTCATGTACGAAGTATAAACGGAAGGATATTAATTCCAGCTGGATTTTTTCCGCCCTCCGCAATGTCCCTCGGTTATTTTGCTTTCTTCCGCGTTTAATTGTCGCTGCCAACTTGGAAATTGTAGCAAACCCTGGGTATAAATACCGTCGGCTAACGAATCTTTGCCCCGATACCTCGCAAGGTGGACACGCGTTTTGTTGATGTCTCACTTCGACGAATGGATTTAAATTAAATAAATCGAACTTGGCGCGATTGCTCTCTTAACAATACTCGTTGAAGATAAAGAATAAATGAAAAGATTTCGAATAAATCGTCGGGAGAAGGTTGTTATAGAAACGTTTCATCTTCCGCAGCAAATTCCTCGCGTCGACCTTTAATTAAGGGCGATAATTAACTACGGGCATAACACAGATGCTTTTAGGCAACGATAAATCTTCCTTCCGTTCCACGTGGATGGCGATGTTTGTCGGTTTCGCGGCAAGCTGGATTTCGCGTCGCACAGAACGGGTGTCACGCATTTTTCACGCCTATCTTTCGATCCGGCCAATTGACACAGCTATGTTAATTCTTAAATAAATACCCGGGAGGAAAAAATTCGAACGTTCGCGCGAGGAATTGCCGAGCCGACGGGAATGTTACAAGAGGAAGAGAAGAGGTGGAAAAATAATTTCTCGATAAGAAGATCGATCTTGGCGTGGTTCGCGTGGAATTCGCATTTATCATGGCCCTTGGAAGCGAACTTCTAAAGCACGTTTTTCTCGCATCGTGCAAGCATCCATTATTTAAACGAACCAGATCCTTGTTCGAGGGCGTAGAACATTCGTTCAATATTTATGAACCATAAGAAAAACGAGGAATTGGCCGCGAAATATTCTGCCAAGCTGTGATTTTCACGAGCGAGGCTACCCGCTAATTAATCGTCTCTTAATTAATCGAGCTTACTTCTTTTTATAGATTCATTCGAGACTCGTTGAAGATTAACGACGAATCGTTTGAAAACAGAGCAGCTCTAATTTGTGTGTAACGGTGATCGATAATTAGAGAATTATTTTATAATTAACCATCAAGCTATTGATTGGGAAAATTTCGAAAAATCTCGATGAATTACTTGCAAGTAGTTGTACTCATTCAAGATGGTTCTTTAAGTGTTGATCGACTTGTTTTCTTTAGTAAAGGGCTTGTAGGGTCGTTCGTTCCCCTCGTCTTTCTGTCGACTCGTAGCTTAGCTGATTGCGGGATAAGCTTCGCGAGAGCTCTCATGGTTTCAACGAGAGGCGATAAGGATCGTTCGTAAAAAAAAAAAAATTCTAACTTTTTTTCTAACTCTGGAACGTCTAGGTCATTAGAAATCACTTTTTATCCGAATATTTTATATCACTATCAATGAAAATAGTTTTCCAAAACGGTGAACCAAGATATTTATAATCTGGTATAAATGAATGATGAAAATATTCAAGGAAATTCACTCGAGACTGGCACAATGAAAACTCGTTGCTCAAAGGGTTGAATCACTGTTGCGAGCAATGCAGTTTCATTAATTTCCAAGGCACCGTTACAAAGAAAACGTAAAACAAATCGTTCCCGTTTTACGTCGACGAGTAATCACTTTTTAATGAGAACCACACTTCTTCCATTACGTACTTCCTCCCTTCCAATTCGCTCCCTCGTGCAAACAGACGATTTTTAATTTCGCCTGTAAATTGTTATGCAAATTGAACATTTACAAGCATTCGTGTTTAACTCTACTTTCATTCTATAATCCTGCCATTAAATTTCTTTCCTCTCCTCCTTTTACAGTAATAAATTTTCCAATATTAATTTATCTTCTTATTCAAGAATTCTTTCGATTTTTCCATGGAACTGTAAATAATGGACAAATTTTTTGTTACAGGGTTGCAACGACGGGTAACATTGGGTTGGCAATTAAAGGAGTTGAAAAGGACGAAAGGTGAACAGCCAGCAGCACGGTCCAGCCATGGTAAGTGTGTAAACATAATATTTGCACGGGTTCGTTATTCTCCACGTGGTTTGCATACACATGCGCTTTCCACTTTGCACATCGATGCACTTTCAGCTAGAATTATTCTACCGCTTCTCTACCACCTCTGTAATTAACCGTCTACGTGTTGCGTGAAACAAGGAGAATTACTCCTTGCATTTTCTCTCGGCTTCATTTTCTCGTTAACACGTTTGCCTCGCGGTAGAATAAAACGAACTATGCTCTGTTTCGACAGCGATATGAAATTAGGATTTCGCATAATTCTTTCTAAGAAATCCTTCGCGTCAATTATGTCGTAAAAAGTTTGCGCTAGCTTTTTACATCGATAACGAGTCGGGAATGTTGAACACATCTTTGAGCGCGGTTAGTTAGATACTTCTTGGGTAACGATTTTATGGGGCATACATCATCGTCTACATTTCTTCCTTGACACGGGGCGCCATAAGATCGGAAAACGCGGGCAGCTGGCTCGTTCAGCTCTAAATAAAGCGCTCAAGTGCAGCCGGCGAGATGTGGAACGTAATAAAATTTATCTACACCACCGTTCTCCCTCTCGTATAACCTTCTTCTTACATTCTTCCGTTTTTTATCGCGAATTTCTTACGATATCGGGAGAAGCAATATTACGCAATATCGCGTAATAGATTTTTAAAATAATTTAGATAACTCACATCCAGCATCTAATATTCCATCAGTTCGAATAGCTTTTCAGTCGTTTCACTGCTGTTTTTAGTGAAAATTTCATATCACTTACGAATATAACTCTGATTCGTCTGGAACGAAAAGAAATTCAAGATGCTTCTATTCGCAGACATAATACAACGGCATGCTTTTGGTCGTTTTTGCGCGGCGATCCAGAACGGTTATTTTCAGTGGTCGAGATAAAGCGCAAGGTGGCCTGGGAATAATTTCATCCAACCTTTTTCAACCTTCCCAACTTTTTATTCCTCGATAACGGAACGATTTTAAGCCGATTAGCCGTCGCTCTCGGAATCGTCTGTTTTCTCCAACGAAATGAAACTTGGACACATGTCCATTTTTACCATACGGTTTGACATATTAATTCCGTCCTGATATGAACGCTCCATCCTTATCGTTTCACGTTTCTTCTCGAAATTTTCGTTCGTTCACGTATGTTGAATTTATCTTTTTCCGAATGTCGTCAGCCTTCCGTGTGCGTTCGCACGCGTGCTTACAAATCGAGGTCGTTTTCGAAACGAGCGGGCAAATAGTTCCACTCTGAGTCACGCGATTTTATCGCAAACTTAGAAGTTGCTTTATGAGGCACCGCTGGGATGCCACTTCGCGTTACTTTGTACTATTACGAATCAGATGTATACATACGATTATCGTGGTAAAAAAGAGATGAAAGGGAATCGTTCGAATCGCTCGTTTAATCCGTGGCAAGGATCGGTTGAATTTGTTTGTGGAAAAGACGACGCAGTTTCAGTTGCTCCGATCAATTATGTAGCCCTCTTTCTAGCAATTAATCGAATGACGGTGACCTTAAAACGTCGATTCACGGAACACTGTGACGTCCGCGAACGAATAGAGGATACTTTTAGCGGTTGAAATTATGGATGTCGAGATTGATCGTCACGTGACACGCACAATTCCACGACACGTGACGCTAATTAATTAGCATTCTACCGTTGATTTATTCAACCCCGTTGAATAAGTAAACCACTGTCATTTGGCTCTCCCCTTTTTGCACCCTCGTTGAATCTCCATTTCTTGTTTCGAGTATTTTAATATGCCGTAATAATGGTGCTTTTCATCATTCCCTCCTCTAATTTAATTTCTTAATTAACGAACGCTGCGTCATTCAAATTTATTATTTGTTTATTGATTATTAATCCAACGAAACGCAACGTCGGATTGAAGATAGCCGCTGTTGGCTAGAGCAGCATTTTGGCAATGTTCCCGATCTGATGCAAAAAAGGGAGCGTTCCGCTCGCAGACAGCATCGGTAATTAAAACGCGTATTAATAACTACAAGTTAAACGCAATTGAAATTAAGATCAAAGATCTGCTCGAAGTCATCGACAAGCTCGTGTAGAGATTCGAGGTAAAATTTGCGTCTGATACACGTGCCCTGTCTTCCTATCCTTTGATCTGTTCCTGACAGCTTTATTTCGCTCGTCCTCTCGTACTATGCGTCAATCTTCCATTACATCCTCGAACGATTTTGCTTTCCATCTGCTTTCGAAGCTCTTCTCGTTTTCCACCGAACAGGGGCAGGGGATTATATCTGTATTTGGTCAGACCGCGTGCCTACTTCCAAAGGTACTCATTCCTATTTTTCTCCTCTCTGTTTTTTTTTAAAGCTTAGATTTTTAGGTAGAAATTTAGAAAATATCCTCTTTATTTTATTATTATTTTTTTCTTTTTTTTTTTAAGTTCAGATTTTTAAATAGAAATTGAAAAAATATTTTGAAATTCGCTGATAATCTATGTTACACTTTGTCGTGAGAAATCTGTTTTGGAATATTTTTGTTTATATAGAAAATGTAGGGTGTATAGAAAATAAAACTCACCACTGTCCGCATAGGTCTCCGAACCGTATCCATCCTGAAGGCCGCTCGCCCACGTGCCCTCGTACCTCGCCGTGGACGTGGTCGATTGTCTGACACCGTATCGACCCTTGAATCCCTGAGTCCATTCGCCACGGTAAATCCAGCGTCCACGGGTTTCCATGCCCAGCCCGTGTCGTTTTCCATTCTGCCATTGGCCCTCGTACGCAGACCCACTGAAATCAGATATCCTTGCTGACAATCACGCGTTTTTTTCTCTTTCACCCTCTTTCCACGCGCACAGCCTTGTTAACGACTCACCCCTTAACATCGTACTTGTTGCTTCTAGCGATTCGAGATTTAAATTCCATAAACTCATCCATATAAGTTATTATAAAATTTCATGATTAGCGGATCAGGATTATCCTTCTTTGATGTTATTCGCGACTAGAGATAAAAAAGCTTAAGATTACGCTTGAAAATACTCGTTTCTCATTTCGCGCATTTCGATACGCAAGCGATCAGATTTCGCTTTTAATACGCGACCAACACGAAAGGAACTCGTTATCGAACCGCATCAGTCCTTTCAACATTTCCCCTTCTTTCTCGAATATCGACACGCTTTTCTATCAGCGATGCTGGATTTTTTTTTCTTTTTCCTAACAGATCTCTTTCGACACGAAGAAGCAATTTTTCTTTCCGACCTTTCTTTTCTCGATATTGCATCTCGCGAAGAAAGAACCCTAAGAACCGATGTACTCTTTGGTGATCTCTCGCGTATCGCAAAAGCAATGTTCGTTCCTTCGAAAAAATATCTTTCCAGCGAAATTTTCATTCCAGTTGAACCCTTTAAATATACGCATAGGTATAAAGTTACGAATAATGGAACCCATAATGGGACCAATCTATAAAGAGGAAGAAAATTTCCAATTCCAACTTTTCTGTGGTATATACTCGTCGTTCGATTGATGAATGGTAAGATAGGGTGGCAAATGATCGTCGAAAATTATTTGGCTTCGTCATTGATGAGACAGGAGATGGATTTATCGAGCATCCCTAGGAAGAGACGCGACTTGACGAAGACCTTGCTCCAGTTTAAACGGAAACGAACCAACGGAATCTCTCGGCCCAGATATACATATATACGTGGTCGCGACTAACGCAAGTTCCCCGTTTCTGAACCCTCCTCTCTCTCCTCTTCATCCTTCTTTTCCCCCTTTCTATTTTCTTTCCAACGGTATTTCCACCCTTTCCGACCGGCAAAGCGACACGCTTTGATCGCGTCGAAACGCGTCGAGAATATTAATCCCTCGTACTCGTTCGTCTATTCTCAGTTACCACCGATTACTCTCGATTGATAAACAAAGAATTATGTATATTAGCCGTTTTAATTAACTCTTTTGGATAACGAATTATCAGTTTTTCTTTTCATTCAAGTTCCTAAGTTTAATTAATATTACTTTAAAAAATGTTTATAGCAACCGACGTGATAATCGGATAATTTTATTGTTTACAAAGATTCGTTAGGAAAAACAGATGGAAAAATTCATTAGCTGCTGATCGATACACAGGGTGAAAAATGACGGCGAGTGCAAAGGCTGTTTAATATCCGGTAATTGCTGGTTGCGATTAGCGAACGAGCTCGAGCGCCGGTGAATCGTTAAATAGACGTGCGATTAGGTTGATAAGGAAGGTGGAGTAATTAACGATTCAACCGGGACGTCGAGCGGAGAGCTTCCATTCTAATTATCCCACGATTCTTTGTTATTGCAGCGAACTGGGTCTACGAATTAGCGTTTCACCTCGATTTACGGCAAATTGATTCGTTTTACCTCAAATTGTATTCCCTTTTTAAAATTATTACGTGTACCCTTATTTTTCGCAATTACTTTGGAAGATTCATAAAACTTTTCGAAGTTTTCTCAGTATTAATTACGGATAAGTCGGGTAGAAATTTTCTATAAAACTCGCGTAGTCGGTTCATATTTGTTGTCTATTTTCGAGACAGAATCGATTGAATTGCAAGAGAAATAAGGTCAGCATGATCGTATCTCCGGATGATTAATCAGACATAGAGAGCCTGATTAATCAGCGTTTCATTAGCAAAATGTGAAACCTAAAATTTACTACTCTTAATGAAATCTGACGCACGTAATAATAGTTTATTCAAACTTCAAAAAAATAAATGTCCAATCGATTAAATGGAACATTGGTACGAGAATAGAATATTAGATGTGTAATTAAGATAATTGATCGAGAAGTTTATTTGTGAATGAGGTTACTGAATGTCTTTCAAATGCAAAAACCGATTAACACAAAATTCGTTTGTTCTTTTATCGTGTCTTAATTAGTAAGTCGTTGGCTGTGCGTGACTTTGGTCACGATAAATATCGAATCCACGATACATTTTCCACGACACTTTTCTATCACGTGCCACTATGGAATCCTCGGCGTGTTCTCGTAATTGCTACACGCCTGGTTAATGTCGTCGCTTAATCGATACGCACAGGACGCACGAGAGCCTTTTCTCTATCGTTGAATTTTATAGGGGTTAAGAATGTTCTAATTTTACCAGGATCAAGATATTCGAAAATAAAATACAAAAACAGAAATTGGACTGTTACTTATCAAAGGAGGGTTCTTCTTTCCTTTTCTTTTTAATTTCAAATTAAGTTCAATGTTATTAGATAATTTGATTTATTTTCTACAGAAAAATTGAATCAATCCAAAGTTATCAAAAATGAATAATTTATCAAAAATTAACGCAAGTGGTGGTCCGCCACGGATCTATAATAGCAAGGGGCCTGTTCTCGCGCATCGTCAGTCTCCTCGTCGACGCCGAGGGGGAAGGGTTGGATCTCGGGACATTACCATTTTTCCCGGGGAAGCCTGATTTGATCACGAATGCACATATAATCTAAATTTATATCGAAAGTTTGTAGTACAAGGCTCGTGTACACGAACAAATCAGATATTCGAGGTACGCAGATATTTCGGATAGCTCAGGTGTCCCAATAATTGTCGTTTGACAATGTGGGCGTATACTTGAAACGATTCGAAGCATCGGTTGTATACACGCGACCTATTATTCGACTATTCGAGCCTCGAATCGTCGAATTTCTAACGTGGGAAGCGTTATTTACGAGGCAACGAATTCGGGTTACACCGCGACACAACATTCGTACGAAACGAAATCTAAATATAGTAATGTCGAATTCGCGGTTATATTTTCTTCTTTCCCTTTCTTTTTCTTTCTCTCTCGGGAGGGTGGGCTAATCCCTCGGTCCCATTGATGAACACTGGCGCGGGCTAAAAATACATAAAAATGTGGGTCAATTTTTCGTTGTACGGTCGAAAGGCGGTTGGTGACGGCCGATGTTAATAACAATTATATTTACGGTCTCTCTCGTTGCAACGGACTATTTAAAGACGCGTGACAGAATTTCTTCCGGAACGATCGACGGATCAAATATAGTCGCGTTACGCGCGCTTTTTCGTAGAAAGAAATCGTCGAACGCGTCGAGACTATTTCGATTTGACTGCGCGGAAAACGTTCTATTTCGAGTCAATTCATTTGATTTTTCTTGATAAACAAACTATTAAAGAAGCAACAAGTCATTTTTATAAAAAAATGATTTTTCCAGACTGTCTATAGTTTTAGCGTAGTGATTAAGGTTTCAGGAGGGTGAAAGGTGGCCTGGAACGTAGTAATTTTATTCTATCAGTAAAAGCCGCCATTAACGGCGTCAATTCGTGATGAACGGGAAACCTTGACACGTATCTCTCGGTATATACCTGCGGCCGGCCGGGAATCTCCCGATCCCGAAAGTGGGTCACCGAGTGCAAGGACAACAAGTCCAGGTCACTGGGAACTGAGCGGTTAGGAGGAGCTAGTTCACGGACGCGCTAGACAATTATTTCCCCGAATTTCATCAGGATTCCCTATCTCTTAACCGGTCATCCTGACGCTGAATATGTAATCCCCTGACCTGTTTACAATTTTCCATTATCCGATGATATTCATCGGTTTCGAAAAACGACGAAATTTTCTATCAATCAACATGGAAATTCAAAGTATTTCATTTGGATGATTTTTAGAAACATTAAGCTGCTATGAAATTAATTTCATTGTAAAGGGTTGCATCCACTTTTCGGCTAAATCGTTGGTAATATACGGGGATGATTGTATATTTGATATTTTCTCTATCGAAAGGTATTCTCCGAGTTGGAAACACTTTCGTTAATTAAATTTAAAGATCGATGTCGATATAGAGCGTGTCGCTAACGAAACACGGTTTATCTGGTCTGGAAATGTACAATTTATACGGAAGTCGAGGTGAACCGAGATGGTATTCAGCAAACCAGTCAAAATGATTGCTTTCAAGTTTCTAATTTAAAATTATAAATTTTATCAAGCTATTTTTGTTGGAATATATGTTGGCTATTGTTGAGATTCTACATTATTTTCAAATTAAAAATAAGCGTGCACGAAACGTCGGCAGTTCTAGCGTTAAACGATGGAACACGGTACGGAGAGAAAAAAATTGAAGCAAGATACTCTTTGAAATATCTCTTAACACGTTCACCTCTTCGTCCACGTTGTACGCGATGGAAAATCGATTTTCAAAGAGAGAAAATCCACGCACGGGGTCGAAGAGCGACGATCGCGTTTGGAGGCGTGCCAGAAAATGAATAAGGAACCGAAGGAACAGATCGTGATCTCACCTAGGCCAGGTGTAGACACCGGAGACCTCGAATCCATAGTGCCAGCTACCGGAGTAGGCACCTTGGCCCTTGGGTCCGGTGCAAACGCCGTGTCCGTGCGCTTTTCCATCTTCCCAACCGCCGCAGTAGGTGCCGCCATCGTCGAAATCGAATCTGCCGCCGTTAACCTGGGCACGATTGGACACCGTCGTGGTGGTACCTGTCGCTCCAGGTTGGGCCGAGCCGATGCCACCTGTTTGAGGCAATTGGGCACCACCTGCCACCCCGTTCGGTGCCCCGGACTGTTGGCCAGACTGTGGCTGTTGCTGCATCTCTTCTCACCGCCTCTCGTCTCTTCCACCTCCTTCTTTTCATCCACCACCTCCTTCTACCTCTCGTTCTTTCCCCACCACGTGTCTCCTAATCTTCGTCCTTTTCTTCTTCTTCCTCGTGTTCGTGGTAGTCGTCGTCGTTGTCGTTGTCGTCGTTGTCGTCGTCGTCGGCGTCTTCGTCTTGGTCGTGGTCGTTATCGTGGACGTTATCGTGCCCGCCGGTTAGCAACGATCGCACAACCGTCCCTTTGGACGTTGATCCATCATCCTTCCTGTTCGTCTCCACGTTTCTTCTTCTCTCACGCGTTTCACCAACGGATCTCTGCAAGATCACCGAAGAAAAACCACCGTTCACCCCGTGTGACGAAAACCGCGTTTTTCACGTTCACCGAGACACCGCGCACCTTTACGATCGTCGAGACTCGAGCATCGTCGTTCGGTTCGAATTTGTCAAGATTCTTTTTTATATTTTTATTTTTTGGTATTTTCTTCCCTTTGTTATCGCTTGTGTACGATCTATAAATACGATGTTTCGGTGCTAAAGCATTCGGCTAGATCAGAAATGCTCTAAGATTCGACACGGGTTAATTTTAGTCGCGGTTGCTCGGACGGCATACGAGGAGCGGAGATGCGAAACGACGACGACGTCGAGGCTCGAGTCTGCTGTCCGTTCGTAGGGGATCGCAGCCGCGAGAAGGGTGATCGTCGAGCGGAGTTCGCGTGGCCTTGAAACGCACTGGGACACGCGGGATCGATCCACCCGTTGGGAATTTCAACCCTCTGCGAGCCACCTCTTTCCTCTTTTATTTTCTCACTCTCTTTCTCTCTCTCTACTCCTAACACGTTCTTCTATGATCCTACTTCACTTCCTCTTTCTGCCTCACCACCGCGATGATCACCGCGGTCGATCGTCCTGATCCTGACACTCGCACTCGCACTGTTCACTGGAGTCATGAAACGCGGATAGGGGTGGGGGGATCAGGGGATGCGGGGGTTCGATTAATCGGTTCGATCAGTGGCGCGTAGGAAATTGGACGCACGACGAACGGCAGAGAGGATCAGCACACTGTCGGAGATGGGCGCGAGTATCGGTCCGCGGCCGTTCGACGTCCGCCTCGATGCCAGAAGAGGACGCGAGCGGGTTTTTCGTCGAACTTGTCGAAACTCGACGGGCCAGCAGCCGCGGTTTCGCCGTCCGTCTGACGCCGTTACGCAACGCTTCTATAAGCATCCGTGATCCGCTCGGAATGTGGCCCTCTCTTTCTCACTCTTTTCACTCGTCGTTTCTCCCCCTCTTCGTCTAACCCTATCTCTGATTCTCGATGGCTGCTTGTGAGCTTGTTCCGCGCTCGACCAGTCGGCGAAAAGCTGGTCGGTGAACAAGCTGCCTCGATAATCGTCTAGGTCGGCCCGTTCCCCCGACGATGGTGGTTCGGCGTCCACGCAGCGTACGCGGCTCGTAGCAGCATCCTCACTGCCGTTTCCCTGATCCTCCTACGTGCGAAACGGCGACCAGTGTGAATCAGCCCTCGCCTCCTCTTCCTACATGCGGCGGCGGCGGCGGCGGACTCTTGTCGGTCTTAAAATATTCACTAGACTTCGCGAAAGAGTTTCGCGAAGCTGGCCGCTACGGCTGGGAAATATATAGAACGATTCCTCTGATACGGTTGGCTGACCTCGCCGCCACACCATCTACGCCCGCAAGAAATGACCTCGTGGCCAACTGGTGAACGACAATGAAAGAAGATCTCTAACCGAACGTACCGGACACGTACGGATCGACGAAGTGGCTAGATCGACGCGTGCTCGTCATGATCATCGAGAAAGGCGGCAATGCTAGGCCTCGGTGAATCTGTTCGCACTAACTCGAATCACTCACTCACTGGGACAGAAGAGTAACGTATGTCCGCTCTAGCGTGGCTAGAGCGGTGCTCGCGCTAACGCTCGAGCTCTAGCCTCGAGGTTCTCGGCTAGCTGGCTAGCAGCTTCTATTTTTACCATGGGGTGGCGAATTGTTCCCCACGCCGAGGTACCGGCCCACGAGGAGGCAGCTCGAGCGGACAGCTCGAGAGGTTCGCCAATGCGACCGGGTTCAAAACGTTTATAAATAGGAGGAGTTCTCGCGCCGAGCGCGCCGAAAATCGGCGACCATTTGCCGGAATACGGATTCGGACGCGGCTTCTGACGTTCACGCGGCTTTCTATCGCGAGATCATCACCTACCGAGAATATCGACCTTCGGAAAACTCTATTAACCAATGGATCATCCGTGAATGATCTCGGTTCGATATACGACGTTCTACTATAAAATTAATAACCACTGTATTTATTCTGCCCATTCATCTGTCATTCATAGCTTTCAATTCGATTTCGATATCTCCTACTTAACTCTTCTATCTTTTCGTACCGTACTTATCGAACGAGTGATTTTCACTCGACAGCTCCTCGTACTGTTGATTTTGAAAAAAGTGAACTATCATCGAGCAGCAACGGGCCACGAATGTTTCTTCTCCAAGTCCATCAAAACAAGTAGCAGATAAATAATTGATCAAGTTTCAGCCGATCGATTTCTGACTTGTATCACTCGCGGCTATAGACGCACAACGTCCATAGGGTTGCATTTTTGATGCTGCACCGCGATATCGGTCAGTTACTTTTTCCCCCTCGCGATATAAACTAGGTGCCCCGTTGCATTTATTAACGCGCATTCGATTCAGCTCGACGAAACGTCCGTGTCAACGATCCGTCCACGAAATAAAAAAAAAGGAGCATCTGATTTTTCTGCGTCGAGGATAGAAGGTTGAGAAACGTGAGCGGTGCGATGGAAACGAGGCGTCGAGTCGCTCGTTCTCCTTGGACGTTTTTATATAACAGAAATCAATTAATCGATCATCCGATATCGTGGGCACGCAACCACGGGAAATAATCACGCGTTCCCTTCCCCGACGATCCACGACGGCTGAAAAAGAAAGAGGCTACAAAGCGCCGCGGTACACCCTCATTATTAAAATAACTCGCCGCGAGGACGCTTGCGAACGATCCAAAGCATAACGTTCGCTTCCCGAAAAAACAATTCCTTCGTCACGTTCGAACGTTTGCTTGAACGAAATTATTCGTTGCCTAGAACGAACCTCGCGACCGACCTCGTTCCACCGCTGATTCTTGCACCTGCGAGCCTCCTCGCGAATCGCACCCCGATTTTAACGATACATCGTCACCAAGAATTACGGACGAGCTACTCGAGCTACCAGAGGGCGTTTACGAAGTCAAGATTCGCTAAATTACTCTGCAAACATGAGAAATGATGGACACAAGAGCGAGAGGGCTATTGCGCCCCGCACTCCCTTTATACTCTACCCTCTTCACGGTACACATAGCAGTCTCGTGCAATTTTGATTTTCTTTAATTATCTATCCATATTTGTTTTTTTATTGCGAAAACAGAAGGTTTTATGTTAGGATCATCCTAGATTCTCCAGAGGTGCTATTCAATCCCTATTTAAAATAGTTTCAAAGATTATCCTATTAATTGCCTGATTTTTCATTCAAGAGCAAAATATTGTCGCAATCAAGTGTCAGCGACACTGGATCACGCGGGAACGTTTCGTGTCGAGATAACGGGGTGCTAATATTCCTGCAAAGTCTTAGAGGGATTGTTTCATGACTGACGATATTTAAAACACCCGACGATTAGCATTTTTACTGGAACGTTTAAATTACTTTCACTGAGTCATGGAAAAGAGTTAGGCGAAAGGGGTATTTAAAAATATTGCGCAACGCAGGGGTGATTTACAATCATAACGATGTAGATATAAAAACGTCTGGTGATGTGGGAAACGTTAATGGGACAGTGTAGTTCCACGTGTGATGCACGGTATCCCTTACGAGGATACATAAATCTGTCCCTAATGAAACTGGCAGACTTCCTCTAAACTGAACGTCAAGATTATATCACGATTGGTAGAAAAATTCCATGGTCCAACGTTGAAGTTGTTAAAGAAAACGGTCGTGTAACTCACGACCCAAAAATACTTGGTAAAAATCACGGGGCGCAGCTGCAGGCATCACGAAAGAAAACACACGCATACACGCATACGGAAATAGAGCAAGAGCAGGATTCTAGAGCAGAAGCTGCGCTGGTGTGTCATCGGGGAAAGAGAAAGTTATCGGGTGAGAGAAAGGTTGCTTCGTCTCCGCGATATCTGGTAATGCTTGCGAACAGGAAGTTTTTCTAGGGCAGTTTGCAGAGAGAAATGGAGCTGACTAGAGCACTGGCGATTAGAGGCTGTGGGGCTCGCACTTCCGGTCGATCGATCCGCGCGCACCGCCACCGACACGTGCGACTCACCCGACGAATATACGTGTCGCGCACTGTCTGTTACGCACTGTTCGAGACGATACACGCTGCGTTTTTCCGCGCACACGTGCGTCCAGACGACACTTGTCACCTCTCTATCGCAGCTGCGCCACGCCACACAGCACCACTCGTACACACGATTCCCTGCTATCTCCACTCATCCACATGCACGTTCGTCGATACTGCACACCCAGAAGCTGTGCTTCACGATTTGATAACCAGGACGACGACGCGTACCGTGGCGTTGTATCGCGTCTCGACGCTCCGGCATCGAGGAGCCACCGTGGACGCGTCGATCGCGTTTTCCTTCCTCTCGTTTCTACCTCGACACAACCTTATTTATGCCACACTGCTCCTTCCCGACGATCGTGTTTCCGGATAGTATACCTGCACGATTATTCGAAATTTCCTATTTTTTTGATATTTCAAGATTTTCTTTCGACGATGATACTTGGAGCTCTTGCGTCGTCGACGTACACGCACCGTGGATACGGGAACGTGCGTCAGGGTGGTGGCATGATTGCGACTATCCACCTAGTCGCGAGTCGTCGTCGGCGCTGCCCTCGACGCCGTACGACGCCGTGCGACGCCGGCGTCGTGGCGCCTCGAGTAGAACGCTCTCTAGGACACATGCGCTGCTCGATACCGAGGGCCGCGATTCGCTGGACCACGCTAAACGCCTTGGGCGGCATTCGCTCGAGTGATCGGTGTCGAGACGCATCTTGGATAAACTTTTTTTTTTTAAGTTTGATGATTCGTTTCAGAATTTCGATTTGGAATTGATTATTCTTTCCAACATCCTTTTATGATACTATTTTTTATTTTAGTAGAAGAGGTGCCTGAAAGTAGATATACTTCCTTGGATTGGAAGATGAATTGATAATTTAGTATAAAATCAGTATTTTTATTAATTACTACCCTCGGCCACGTTGCTCTCTCTCTTGGAATGATTCAATGGAGGGTGCAAAGGGTTAATTTGTAAATTAAATTACGAAAAGTTTAATACAATCAGACAATGTTACTTTTCATCTTCCAACCACTTGACAAAATTGCAAACAGGATTATATTGGAATGGGAAACGAGCTCCTCCACAGGGATCGTGCAATTTTCCAAAATGAAAAATTAGTTTTCCCGAGATAGTGAACCGAGTCCAAGTTTCGCCATCGAACTTTCTTCCTGAAAACTTCTAGCGCTGCCAAAGTTGCAGGAGCTGAAGTATTCAGCAAGTCGTTAGAAACTTTTCGTTAGTTTCTCGTTGCGATACACCGTGATCCAATGAAATTCAACCGCCGGAGAAATGCTCGTTGCACGTATACAAACAGGGAGGTAGAACAGTGGAGAAGGTAAAATGCATTTGTATGCGCTTTAGTTCGCTTATGTAGTAGGTATTATATTTCGAGTGGAGGGTAGAATGCGCGGAAAATCGAAGGCAACCATTTTTGTACATAATATAATACGCCTGGTAGAACTCGAAACAAACCGCTCACGAGCTTGTTCATCCTCTTTGCGAACATAATACGTCGAATCAACACCCCGGATCCCCCTCTTTATATAATCAATCATTTCCAATATTACATAAAAAAAGAACCGATGTCACGATCAGACTGGCTACCCTTCGATCATTATTCAGTATTCTATTTTATATTCAAGCACTTTTCTTCTCGATAAAAATGCAAATAATTTTGATAAATGGTAACTAATTAATATTCATTTCAAAGACATCCCCGTGTCTTTTTTCTAATTTGAAATGTTACATCTGGTGCGCGTTTTGGAAACAGTACCACCATCGCCATCTAACAGCGAGCAGATAAACAGAAAATTGCCTTCTTTTTATAAATAAACCGCTTGCTGGCAAAGCGACAATTCGCTGCTATGCGTGATTTCTTCTGTATCGATAGATAATCAGATGTCGACGTTTAAATGCAGAATAAAATATTCATCGATACTGCAGGTACGAAAAATCATTTTGCAATCGCGTTCGCAATTTTCAAACGCGTATCTATCGCGTAACACGACACATCTGATTTTGTTTTCTTGGCTGAAATTTGTATCTCTTTAAAAATGAATAATTTTAAGGGTGAATAAACTATTTGTTTGCGAACATTGATCAAACGATTCTATCGTATACGTCAGAACAGATACCGGTATTATGAAATCAATAATGCGATTCCCATCATTGCAAATGTTTCCTTTAACCTCTAGATTCGTTGTTACGCAATTGGAGAACCCGTGAGTGTTGTAAAACAAGCACGAAAGAGTACGCGGATCGTTTCATTTCGTAAGATCGTTAGAAGCGTGCACATTAGAAGATTCAAGGATACAAACAGTTCGCAGTATCTTTTATTGTTTATATCATGAAACTTTCAATAAAATCGTTGCTTGGATAAAGATGCAAACGCGAATCAAGAGACAGTGTCAATTCACTTGACGCATTGAACGTGATATTTTGGTGAATAATAATCGTTGAAACGTTTGAAGCAATAGGAAACATATGTGAGCACCTAAGACTGCACTGAAATTGCATGTGCAAGCAGGGAACAGGTATGCATCGGGTTTCAACCGGTAATAGAATTATTTTCCTATTTGTAGTGGGGAATCGATCTCTTGACAACGTTCAGTATGAAGCGCGATGTCCCTTTGATAAGAAGGCAGCTCGAGGGCCAAGGGAAATGGAGAAAAATGACGAGGAACAACGAAAGTAAATCATTGTTATCGAATTTAGTGAGTTTCGGTTAAGCTTGATCAAAAATTCAGGCAAATTGGATGATTTTGTGATATCGTTTTTCATCGATGGAGAAGGTTCGAATACGTGTCATTTTTGTGTTCCTTATCTTAATTTTAATTCTTCAATATTCCTATATTTTATTCAGAAGTTGACGTTTTCATATTTATATATTTCATCTATTAAACGTCTTTTACTATCAGTACAAAGATTAGTCTATCATCAGCGTCAGTGTCATCACGTATTTCATCAGCAAAATCTTTTCTATATCTTCTATTATTTCTTCCGTCTGCTTCGTATGATGTAACTTCACTGATTACTCATTAATTTACTTGTTTCTAGATAGGAATCCCAGTATGATGTAAGCAATAAATATTTACCATTTTTAAATGATAATTTTTGAAATTTTCAAATCACAATATTTTCACTTTTACTCTATTTAATCAATTATAGAATTCAGTTTTCATTGTCTATGGGTCTTGGTTCATTTGTTACTAATTTATATAAAATCATGGTCTTTCGTAACACTTTCTGATAAAAAAGAAACCAAGGTCAAAAAACCTCGGGTTCTCGTAAAATTCATCGCTATTTGTTGTCAGCAAAAAAAAAAAAAACACAAACCGATAACCTCCAACCTGACGAAACTTCTGAATTTCATACTGATCGTAAAGAGAGTGTAAAACTGGACGCAGCTCGAACGACATGTGTCTCGTCTCTTCTCCATCGCTCCTCATCGAAACGGACCTTTCTGACGAGTCGAATTCGCGTAGAATTCTGTACTAGTAATTTAACGGTAATTTAGCCAAGTTAACCGACGAAACTGACCGGTACCTCGAACCACTGTACTTTCAAGGAATTTCTTCCTAAAACTAATGATTCTTGAGATATTGATCATCAGTCGTACGCGATCAGAGCCGAACACCTCTGTCTCCTTTCAGAACAAACGAAAGCATGGATCTCTTGAGTCTCACATTTCGGTCCCTCGAATTGAGGGACACCACGAGTCAACAAGAGGACTTCCTCGATTTGGATCAAGGAAACACGGTGGAACTCGAGGAGACCGTGACGGAATCTCGACGAAGATCGTGGCAGAACAAAGAGGAACAGCGACGTACGAGCAGAGACGAACAGAAGTTGTTGAAGATCATCAACTTGGACGAAGTCGCTTGGCACGACACTGCCGACAATTGTTGGATCGTCGTTCATGATTTCGTGTACGATTGCACGGATTTCCTGAAGAATCATCCGGGTGGATCGGACGTTGTCCTCGAGTACGCTGGCAGGGATGCGACTTTGGCTTTCATAGGCACTGGACACTCTAGCGCTGCTAGACTCAGCCTGGAAAGGTATCTGATCGGTGAACTTCCGCCGGAAGAGAGGATCTTCCGCGTACCGAATGGTGTCAAGATCGTTGAATTTTAATACGTTCGTCGTGTGCCGCAGAATATAACCTCAGACCATCTAACTCGCGGTATCGCGTGGTAGGCACTTAAGAGTTAAACGAGGTAAACGAGGACTGATTCTTTTTTTGAACATTAATCGAGAATGTTTTGGGTTTTGCCTGGACTTGGTGTAACGTAGTGTCATCGTAGTGTTTTCATAATTTATACTTTGATTGTTGAAAGACACTTTGAGATATAGTATCTGAATTTTGTAGGAATTTTCTCAATATTTGGTGGATAGATAATGAGAAAGATTGAAGTTCAAGCCAACGGATCTGATTCCGTGTCACTGCCGTCCCTTCGCAATTACATATCACAACTGTGCATATATGTTAATTATAAGTTAGACCTTTGATGTATATACACGTTCACGAAAATGGAATGCTAGGTACAAAATGGCTACATTTACAAAAGAATGACCACGATCGGTGGCAGTTAGTTTTGTAAACGAAGCGTGCAATTTATACTTTGTTTAATTATCAACCAGGAGGATTTTAATTTGCAATTTCGTTGTCGGACGATTACGAAAGCCTAATTGTCTGAGTCATGCCCTCGTTTGATCAACAAATGGAATTTCATTGATATGCGCTAAGCGTTGAACATTTCAGCAATCGAGAGACGCGTCCACGTGCAATAAGTAGCTTTAATCAGGCTCGCGTAACGCCGATATACGAGGAATAAACGACGAAAAAAAATGACGTTCGATCGTTGCGAAATACGGTGAGATTGTGAATATAAATTGCATATAAATTTTTCAAACTCGATCGATATTTGTTTTTCAAGTTGTAATTTTAAGATACAACTACGTCAAATTATGCACATGTAGCTCGATTGAAAAAAAAAATAGAGTTGACCTTTAAATCTCCAAGGATCCTCCACCTATGAACAAATAATTACCGCCTTGTTACGACCTGCTCGATGCCGAAAAAGTTTTCTGAATAAAAATATCATTTTTTTTTTTTTTTCGGTCGAGTAAGTTAATCGAACTATCGTGAATTAGCAACATCTATTTATTTTTTTTTATTTTCAGTCAAGCATTCTCGCGTTTGGCGTTGCAAATCGGTTATAAAGTTAAAATGGTGTTAATGAGCACAGGTATATTGAATGCGTCGAGTTTCCTGGATACTCTATGATACTCGAGAATTTTGAGAACGACTTTTCGAGAGCACGGTCCCAATTGAATCAACGTGTTACACGAGAAACTGTCTGGTCTATTGCTAGAGGTGTTTCATTCTTTAATTAGACACCGTGAAATTAGATACGTTCAGTGTGTCTGCGGTTGCGGACTGAGGTATTTAAGTCACGCCCTCGCGATCATTTTACACCGTTTCATCTGTTCGCATCTTTCTACTCGAGATTTCGAATAATTATGATGATTATAATAAACTGCACACGCGTGTCAATTTTTACCTTACCTTTGCAATTTGTAGATAAAGAAGTTTTGCGCATCATAGAATGAATTCTAAACTTCGTTAAACTATTTTGAGAAACATTAATAATATTTTGGAAAAACAAAAGAAATGAATTTCACCTCGAACGATTAATAATTCAAGAACGAAGGAAACAACAGGAATAAATAATAACACGTTTCTTTTTTCTTTACACCGGTACATTATATTTCTTGGTCCTCTAAACATTCATAATATACACAACATACAATACGACATAGCGGTTCAGCTTTTAGTTCCTCGTTAATGCGGTACCGATAGAACATTATTAATTAATTTTCTCCGGGCTGCTTGTTCTTCTGTCTGTTTCAATTTCTTTTTACCTTTAATTATCCGTAACGTGTCATTGCGCTCGACGCCAGGAGAAAGACGTAAACGACACTCATGGAAAATGAATAACACGAGACACACACCGTGATTGAGAAAAATATTTCTATATCGTAGCAATGCATCTACGGAGATATCGTTTTAATTTTTATTCCCTTCGCAACGCTACGTTTTTTCTTTCATTTATAAAGCAGGCCTGAACAATTCATGTACTTCAGGGAGGGAGGTGTAGAGACCATTTAGTTTCTTTTTTAGACGTTCAACTTCAACTCGTTACATTTTATCGTTTCTTGCCCGGGAAATGCCCAGGGCGGGGAAACAATTGCTCTGTGGAAACTTCGTTCAAGAGCATCAAAAAATTCAAATCATTTTTCGAGTCTGAAAGAATTTTATTGTTACCCAAAAACGAAGTTCAGCCAAATATTCGTTCCACCGTGATACATATCTGTTACGTTAAAATGTTAAATTCCAACGTAAACAATCGATCACATTCGTTTGCAAATAATCATAATCGTGACGACTTCACGTTGTGCTGATAAACGTTCCCACGGTGCAGCATTTTGGAAAATCGTAAACAACCGGTTGTACCGTTGCACACGATCGACAAAAAAGAGAGTAAGAATATCGTGTGACGAATGGCGAAAATCATTCTCCTGTTTTGCAACGGAACGAGTCAATAAGATAACCTTTGTTAACGAACACTGTTGATTCTACAATCTAAACAAAGCCACTTTACCAAAGCTTTGATAAAAACGCACCTTCTCGCCTTCTGATTAAAAAACAAGCAAGTTTTATTACACGAAATTTAAATTTTACTAATGATTAATATTGGTTTTCGGCGATCCACACGTAACAAGAGCCACGAATGATTAAAATTCATTGTTCCTTCGCAAATTCTAGGTTCCATCTCTTTGTCTATCGTTACGGTGGTTGCTTTTCTTTCATTCTTATTACCATTCTGTCGGATCGACAGGTGTGCGCTTCGACATACACGGGACGATGACAATCGTTATATACAGTAATGATTAACGTTTCACGTGTTCTTAACGATTATCATAGCACATCCGCCTCGAATCGTTCTATTAATTCGCCATTCACACAAAAATGCTGTCATTAAATTCAATTAAAAATTTTACTTTTCTAAGGGTCTGTTCTCAACGAAGCTGTTGCTCAAACAAATCGATCGAAGCGTTGCTTAATTAACGGGAGTAGTGTGAAAGAATTTTTGGCGATCCCAGCTCGCGAAGATTGAGCATTCCGATTAGAGGAATCTAATAACAGCATTCGAGTATTTGCAACGTTCATCATCGAGGCGGAACAGCTTTAACGAAGAAGAACAGAGTGCTCGCACTCGAAAATGGGAAACTTTTGAGTCTAATTACACTTAGAAATCGGAACGCAGTTCTACGGAGCGTGTCAACCTGCTACGCTCTACGCTTTTAACATGCCTGTTGGTTTTTTTTTCTGTTTGTACCTCTTTACAACATCAACATTTACGCGCTACTTACTGTTTTTTTTCATTTTTTCTCTTTTTTTTTCCTTTTTGTATTTCGCTAGGACAGGCTAGATTCGTAGGGTCGAAATCGCCTAGAGCGTCGACCATACTTAATTACAGTGTCTTCCTATGCGCTAATACGGTACGTCGAGTGGCTCGATCGTTTCACACGGTTAATTGCTGTAATTACGACGAGAATTACGATTACGGTTATGGAGCTATTAACCCTTTCGCTGCGTCGCATGCTTTAGCTGAAAATTGTCCGTTGTCTGCGAAACGTATCGCTGTAAAACAATCAAGGGGTATATTATCTGATTTTTATTTTGACAAATGAAAGTTTTTATCTGGTTAATTTTAATAAATTGATCCTTTGAAATAACCTGTACACACGAATCGCGACGAAAGGGTTAATTACGCACGGTTCGTGTAAAAAAAAAATTGATGCTTCGATTCCTTCGTAGAATCGGTTAGCTGGCATTCGTGTTGTGTGCTCTCCGAACCCGTCTGATTAATGAATCAAGTTTAACCTTAATTAAGGTAAAACGCCATTTAGCCGGTTACCGAATAAATGTTCTAATAATTTATTTCAAACCCAAAGAACCTTTTTTCTCTAATTAAGTTAATTATTCTTTTCTTTCTTCCTTTTGGTAAATGGCGCTCGTTTGTCGTAAAACTTATTGCTGAATTAATTAATGAGAATACTTTCGTTTATGTATACCAAAATCTTGCGTTTTTATTAAAAACTTCGTCTAGAAGTGATTAAACGATTTGTGTCGTGTGTTAAACAAAAGAAAATTATGATTCTGTTTAAAGATCGAAAGCAAATTAGATTCTCTAATTTATGTGCTTTGTTATAGTCGAATAGAAGTTACAGGTTCGATAACCGATATATCCTTCGTGTTTTACACTTAATTACACGTATATACAACAGGGCAGTAAAGATCAACTTGTCTGTCTCTACACTCTATAGAAATTTATATGTTCTCTTGTTTATCTTCCTTTTGTTAAACACCCAGTTAGTATTCTTAAATCGTACGACAAGCTACATTCAATTACGTCTGTTTTCTTTCCATTGAGAAAAATAAACGTCTCGTAAGAGAAATCGAATTCTATGTATGTTTCGTTTCCACCTTCTCGAAGGAACAGAAAAAGGTTGAATGGTATCTGAGAAAGCTGAACAATTAAAATCACGTCTGTATAATTATATAGTGAACACAGTGTCTGTTTCAATTACTTACTTATGGATAGAGAAAGAAAATGAACAATGAACACGGAAGAAATTTCAAAAGAAATTATTTTTCATTCACACTCCAGCCTGATACTCGATATTAGGCTTCCATTTTCGTAGTTACAAATATTTCGATCGAATTCATGGTAACCCCATCGTACAGCGATCTAAATGCCCGAGGAGAAATTATAAGCTCATTAGCATAAATAATTCGATGCAGCCGTACACGAACGTGTATGTAATTGCATCTGCAATGCAAATATTAGACAATAGAATTACCAATGCTGTTAAATTACACGCTTACGTAGATACGCTATCACGATACAAATTATAATATATACATACATATGTACATACACGTGTTGGAAGATAGAAAAAAGTCGTAACACTATAAAATTCACTAAGAGGAACGAAATTATTAAGCACCCTTCTAAATTAGGCCTAAGATACAATCATTATACATTTTGCAATTTCTCAAAATATTATCCTATGATCCTTTGTTCCTTTAAAAAAGAAAAAAGAAAAAAATACTCCACATTCTATAGATTAAAACATATTCTTCTTTTTGCGTTCAATTAGGCATGTTGGACCTGGACCAGCCAGGAGAGACGAAGGAAATTTCGCTGAGGAACGAATCGAGTACACAGGGTGAGTGATCTCCTTAAAAAGGTTAATTTTCGAGCGATAGCACGTTCACGTGTACAGCTACTTGTTTAATCGACGAAAGATTTGTGCGAACAACATTTCAACTCCGCCGCGTTCCTTTTTCGATGAACGTTCAGCGAGTCTCGGGTTAGGAGTCGAAAAAATCATTGGAAATCATCGAAGATTTTCAGAAATCTCAACCTCGTTGGTTACTTGAAATTTGGCGAGTTTCGTACCGTTCGAAAATTGTCGAACGCTTTCAGAACTCTAAATATCTCATCGATCGCGGATGCCGAAATTATTTATTTAACACGTTTACCGTCACGCGTTTATTTTGCATATTTTCACATTATTTCGTTATGCTTATTATCCGTAATTCTGAAACGAGAAATACTCGATGGATTCGTATGGAAAATCGCCGATATTGTTGACGGGGCAGTGAACGTGTCAATAAAAACAAATCAATTCGCGGTACGTCGTATAGTTTCATTATCTGATTCTAATTGGATAGAATGAATGTGAAAGGGATAAAGAAGGAAGGAAGAAAGGGAAGGAGGGTAGCCCTCCGATTATATCAAAGTCGATTGAGGGTTCGTCGTCGGAGCTTTGACTGGCTCCGTTGTATCCGCAATGAAATTCTCTCGGAACTGTCGCGAAAAGAGAGATTGGAAATACCATCTCCGTTATCTGCTCAAAGAATCCTTCCTTCGATTCGTTTGACGATCTTACATCAAGCTGCACAAGGTGATACCGTTTTCTAATACCGACTGCAAAGCGGTCGTCGTTTCCATGCAGAAACCCACATCCTCGTACATCGTCCAGATTCTTTGTTGTTGCACGCGACTTTCGCTCTGAGATCTGAAATTGACGATTACCTCCGCATAAAGCCAGCCTTTGTTACTGATCGATATTCACGCGACCCGTCGATTAGAACATTTGCAAAAGTATTCATCCTTATTTACACTTTGAAACTCACCTCGGAGGCATGGCTCGTGGACGTTGCAGCGTTCTAACTTGCTCCCTCGATGCTTGTTGGTTCGAGATGCTGCTGCTGTCTCTGAGAACCTGTCCCTGATGATAATGATGATTATACTGACCGCTGGCGGATCTCTCGTTATTCTGAGACAGCGACAACTGCGCTAGATACTCTCTGAGCTCGGGTTGACTGGCGAGTAGGTCGCGACGCGTTTGACCGCTCGGCGCCGAAGGTGTCGTCGTCGTTGTCGTGGAATCCGACCACGGCGGGGGTGGTGTGTGAGATCGTGATATCATGGCGTATTTGTGGCACAGATACTCTTCGTAGGTCGGTGGCAAACCGGACTGAAACAGCAAATTGTCGTGTTTTCTTCTGAAAGATTCTCGCGTCGCATTTCCAACGGATCCGTTTCTCAAAGATCAAACTGGGGGAGGTTCGCAGAGAGAAACCGAGAAAATTAATTCGTTAATAATAAGGTATAACGGGAAGAGGAGAGAGTCTCTTAATTATATCATTTCGTATAATTGGCAGAAACTGGCTGCCGTGAGAGTTGGGTAATATCGAGACAAAGATGGAAATTGTGTCGAACAGTAGGAACGCAAAGCCGAAAAAGCTTTGTTTAAGCTTTCAATTTAAAAGGGGGGAGAGAGAGAGATAGAGACACTTTTGATTGCTATTCAGTCCTGATTGCCCCCGTTTGGAAGCAGCCAGAGTTCCGTGGGAAATATTGTTTAATCTCGCTTTGGGAATTTGATCGCTTTTCCCAGGGCATAGTAACATTCACAAGGGACTGCAGAGAGTTTCACCAGTAACGAAGGAACATTTATCAAATACAAACTATGCTCCGGTACGTGGGAACTAATTTGTCTAATCTTTGTCGTTGATTTTCTATTTATATCAGAAGGTCATCAGATAGAGATTTTTCGGACGAGATCAATCACAAAAAGTTCTTCCAACCTTTTTCCCCTTCAACAATCATCCCAAATTTTTGTCATATCCAAAAAGGACCATTAAACATATTCAAACTTTCAATTCCTCCGTTAGCACAATATTTAATTCCAAATTTCAGCCCGTACAACCATTCGAATTCTGTATATTTCATCGCTGTACCCGTAACCCAAGCACGATGTACGGTTGCGTTGAATGTAAATTTCTAATGCCCTAGAAACGAGCAGATTTTGATACTAGATATCCTGCGTTAGATCCTGCAATATAGAGACGATGAATTTATAGCACGAAACTCAATAGCATTATCCTAATATCAAACCGATATTGTGAAATGAACCGTCAGCCTGCAGAAATGCATTTACGTTTTACCTTTTGAACGAATCAATTAACAGATACTTTGCGCTTGATGGGTTTAATTAAACAACGGCAATTTGTTCATTACCTTCGTCGGAATTCCGAACAAATTTTTCCTTTGATCGTACAACCATCGGGCGGGGCGGTTTTTATCGAATCAGAGCGAAACAGAATTATTTTATTCAACGAAATCTCCACGGATCGGCTTTGTATTTCGATACATTAGACTGTAATTGTTATACCGGGATTCGGTGCACGGGATTAATTGTTAGCTACATAGAAAATATGCAGGATTCATGCAAGTATTTTTGATAAAGAGTAAACTAAACGTTGAAATTTAGCTGCGAGGTCGAAACAAAAATTCAAAGCAGCTTTATTCAAAAACAATTTTTCTCTATCCTTTTTTTTTTTAATATAGAATTTGATATGTATATTTTGTTTAAAATAATTATTTAAATTACATAGACAGGTGAATGATGAAAGATTATTCGGTAAACAAAGAAGCAAATAAGAATCATAGATATCTGTTGTCTAGTAAAGAAAATCTAACGATACGAGAGTTCGTTTGAAAACTTCTCTATTTTCACTTTCTACGCAAACGCCTGGAAAAAAAAATCAAATTAAAATGCTTGTTCCGGCTGGAGGGAGGCCGAAGTGGAGCTTTTCCTAGCAAACCAACCGTAAAATTCGTTTCCAAGAGTAAAAGGAAACTTTTGTTCGTCGCTTTCGCGCGGTCTCGTTAAAAATTATAGAGAGAACATCGAGTTGGACGAAGGCGAAAAGTATCTGGTAGCTTTTTCGCTTCGCTGGAACCGGGCCACGCTTGAAAGCGAATCACGGGATAATGTTTCCGAAACTCGATTTTCCTTCATATTTCGACTTTGCATCGAGGAAAATCTCGCATACCTTGAGAAAATATTATCTTTCTCGCCAGCTATCATAAGAGGAAGCGAAGTTTGAAATTAAAATAGGTGCAGAACTAACTGGAAATCATAAAGAATACCAACTATCGAATAATCGAATAACCCAATAACCCAATATTTGTGTATCATTTACACGAAACCCTTCTGCGAAACCTAATTCGTATGAAAAATAGAAAATTAAAGGTGTGCGTACTCGTCGAACTTTCGAGGAACAACATCCTGTTCGTTGTGCCAATTGGAAAGTTGTCGAGCCGAAGAGAGGAACGGGAAATCCCGTGTGGAATCGAGCCGATAAAACAGCGGGATAAAAAAAATGGGGTGGTAGTAAAAAGTTGAAAGTGTCTTGGCGTCGTTACCAGGAGTTTCGAGTGGCTCGACACCGGGGTTGACGGTGTTTTTCGTAAGGGTGGCCGCGACGTGGTACGAAAATTTATGTGCCGTTCGGTGCCCAACAACTGAAACGACCATCCACCAACAGAAAATGGATCTGGACTTAAGTAGCAACTTGAAGAATTTCGTTGTTGTTTACCGTACTCATCCGTTTCCCTTTTTGCGGTGTTACGAAACTTTCTTCTCCTCCCCCGTTCCATTAGCTATTTCGTACAGAAACGTGCTCGATTTCAATTCGTTTAATTCCTTTCTATCGAAAAAATGCTCGTTCCACGCAACAATGCATCCGATAGATTTTTGTTATTTCTTTTCTGTGTTTTAAAACACGACCCGTGACCGGTGATTCGGTCGAAAGCTAGAATCGATTACTCGTGAAACGGCGAGAGTCGAGAGCATGCGACAAAATTTTACCAATTATCGCTTCGTTTTCCGGTATAACGAATTTAATAATTACTCGTGTACGCGCAGTGAATTGGGAAGCTCCAGAACCAACCTGTCCAATGAAACGGAAAATTTTATCCCGAGGTGTCATTGTGCGAACAATTTTCTTTTTCACTTTCCGTTTAATATAATAATGTAAATTTAATTTAACACTTTGATTATCATATTTTTCAATTGAAGTTTATTATATTATTAAATTACCGGTCTCGCTGGTTGACAGTATTAACAGAGAATTTATTTAACTGGATTCCCCTGTTGCGCGCTGATTACGTTTTCGTTAGAAATCCATTTCCGATGATTGATTAATGTTAATCGCTTACCTGCCACGTTTTCGAGATCGCAACATCGTAGGTGGGCGGCGGTGATACCATAGAAGGAATGGCGTAAACGGGTTGCGATCTACTTTGCGCGTTTAATTGACTATTTCCAGTTTCGTTGGCCCTCGCGTTCGGCGTGTCTGGAATAGTGGCGTACAACGCCTCCGGTATAGCATTTTCACGAATTCCACCACCGAGTATGCTCGAACCAGAATCTACAAATAACAATATAAATCATAATCACTGTTAACTTCAAAAAAAAAAAAAGAAAAAAACCATGATAATTATGAAATATAACAATTTTAAAGAAATAATGCATTTTTGAAGAAACTTAAGAAACATCTAGAGGCATCTTCTGTACCGAATCTGTGTTCGCGATTCAGTTGTCGCACGTTTGGAAACGCAAACGTGTGCGACATCCGAGGTTCGAAGTGTTTGACGAAAAGTTTTCTTGTCGCAAAGCCAAGATGTTGATGTACCAACCTATATAAGTATAATGCGACTCCGCTCTGTCGGCGCTTCTGGTTCTCCTCGAGTGATTCGATCGTTTCTCGCGTTTGCTGCTTTTGATCGCCGGCCTCGCTTGTTCGGCGACCGAGCTGCTGCTTCCTGTTTCGGAACTTCTGCTCTTGGAGCGAGCCTCGTCTTGCTGTTTCTTGGCCGACCGCCCGTCCGACTTGCTGCCGCCCTTCGACTTTGGCATGCTGAACGTTATCTTTCTCGCGGCCATCCGACCATCTTGGTCTACGAACACCCCGCAGCCGCATACCGTCGTGTGGTCGTTAGGCATTCTGTAAACGATCACCATCGATTTCGTATTATTTATCAGGGCGGTTGATCGCGTTCGTGGGAAGAGGGAAAAAAATTGTAACGACCGTTTGTCGAGCTCGTCGGAACGAACAATTTACGTCGATTAATCGAACGAAAATAACACAGCCGAGTCTCGAATGTAGTTCTAAATGGATTACCGTGAAATTAGCCGTGTCCGTTAGAGGCGATGGATGAATCGGTTGCGAACGGGACAGAGTTCCGTGCTAAACGGGCATTTCCCCCCTCGAAACGGCAACGTTCAACGAATACCCTGACATCGACACTCCGGCCCGGTAATGTCACACGATAATCCGGCGGAATAATGCGACGCGTTTCGTGCAATTGCGTTATCCGACCAACGAAATCTGGGACCATTAATAACAAGCCCATAATGGCACCTGATTCGACTCACTTCTACACGTTTGCCTCCGAGTTCCAACTGTTCCAACGATTAAACCTTTACAGCATTCCGCAAGTTGCTGTCCATATTTCAGCTATTTACATCAATATAGGTAATTGCTAAACAATAACCAATAGAGGTACCTTCAGACAAAAATTGTGATATACATTTCGTGTTTTATCGACTCTTACTATCTGTATTCTATATAAAATCAGCTGAAAATTTGAAAGGAACGAGAAGACACTGTGGTTGAGATTCTCAAACGAAGTAATAAATCGATAATCGTTCAGGAACGATGGACAGGAGGGGTAGACCGTCCATCTTGTTCGATTAATTATTCGATTCCCCTCGAAAGGCTGGTCCCTTTTTCATCGCGGCGAGGAAGCCTGATGTCAAAGCAGTCGCTTTGATCCGAGATTTAAAGGCGTGATTTACCGGAATCCGGGGAACCAGTAGATTTCTTTCGTTTCTCTCCCTTTGTCAGCGTTACCTCGTTGGAACAATAGCTTTGATCCTTTTACAACGCTCCAGACCTCATCCATGTTTCGTTAATTTATCATGGAACAGATTTTTTCTCCCGTGTCGAAGCTTTATCGTGATTTATCGCGATAGTTTGATGCGATCTGTCGCCTTAGCGCGTCAAGTTTCATTTTCATCAAAATCTAGGTGAAATTTATAAATGAATTTAGAAAACAGTAGTGTTTACCATAGCGGAATCGTATCGTGTAGTATTCGACAAAGTGAAAGCGTTCCAGAGAAAGGTAATTTTCTTTGAAACTTCGTTTTCTTATCTTCGACGAATTCGATTGGTTATCTTTCTCACGTTAGAAAGCGTTTTGCTCGAAACCCGTGACATCGAGCACGGTGATGGAACAATTGAATTTTCCTATCGTCGATTTCAAAGGAACACATAGCTCCTTGTATCAGATTTTCCATCCCCTTCAGGATTAGCCTATATCCGTTGTCTCGACCTTTTCAACCCTTGTTCCTTAGCCCATTTTCACGGAGAAATCGAATTCCGAACCTTCCATTTCTTCATTGGTCACTTAGATTTAAGGTACATTATATTCTTCTTATTTTTATTAAGGGTGAAATAATATTTTCAATTTTTCATGGATTTTATAAAAAATAACTGATTCTTGGTTAAATAAACAAACAAAGGGGATGTTAAAAAGAGTCCATGAAATTGCTTCAAATTTCCCAAAGGAGATGTGTGAGATTCGTTTCTGAAAATACAAAACGATTTCGAAATCCTCGTTTTCAATAACGCCATCCTGCGACGCTGTTTGCATTTCGATGAATACAAAAGAACTTTGAACTATTAATTAGAATTAACTCGCCGGAGAAACGGATAAACAGAAGATCGATGAAATTAATTTTCCAACAGGCAGCTCGATGCTTTCCGGTATAATATCGCTTCGTTTCGAAGCAGAGACGCGAGAGATCGCAGCAGGAAAATTAAATTAAACGACCGTGCAGCGAAATGAGCTTCGGGTAAGCTTGTTCAGCTTCCACGGCGAAGTTCGTTGAAAATCGCCGTCATTATTCGTTCCCGGACGAACCCATACCCCTGGCTAACTTCCGGTCCCCCGTAAACTACCAGACTCCGCGTCTATGTCATCCTCGTCGACTTTGACCGAGCGACAACGATCCGTCAGCGAAGCTCAACCCCTCTCCCCTATTGCTTTTACCATTTTTATTTGTCCGTCGGCTACTTCCGTTGGAAAAACAACGACCAAGTTGTTTGTGTTCGAGATTAAATCGAATCTCTGGTGTTTGGTCGGGAAGAAGTCGTTTCGAATGAAGAATTCTTAGCTGTTATTCGTTTATCCGATAAACGACTTGAACTTTTCCTTTCTTTTTGGGGGGAAAAAGAAGAAATGATGGCGTAGACATTGAGCATCGTGAAAATGATCGTGGAAATATAGATTTTCATTGAAACGCGAAGGACAATTAGTAGATGTTGAAGAGGAATCTAGCGATGACGAGCCAGGAGTCGTTCGATCCGAATAGAGGCTGGGTTATTTCACTGGCTGAGATTTTGCATAAGTTAATTGGCAACGGGATTATACGGGCTGGCGCTGAATTTACCCGAAGAAAGGGGAGCGCGACGAGGACATCGATATTAGAGATTTTAAACCGATCGATCAGGAGTGGAAAATGAAATGAAAAAGGGATTATGAAGACAGCGATTCGATCGTGTCCCCTGGAACGATATATCGGAAACTGGAACTTGAATATCGAAGAGGAGTTCTTCAGAATAATAAAAAAAAAAAACAATTCCGATATCCAATGTAAAAACATTAATACGTACAGTGTTATGAAAAGAAGTACAATTACGAAATTAATGAAAAACGTTATTCTGCTATAACAAACAATTATTTTATATTTTTTATAATTGTAACAATTAACTGAGTAATTATGAGTAATTGTACATAAAAAGTTACAATGGAAATTGAATTGCTCAGATTCTATAGAAACAAGTACGAAATTCAGTAGAACGAGTCAGCGTATGGTCAGACAAAGAATTCCATATCTAATAATATAAAAATAATGACCCAGTTCGCTGTCAGAATAGGAGAAAGAATGAATCTTAACAGCACGTGCGTGGCTCAAAGTCGAAGTCTGCTTCTTCATAAAAGAAAAAAAAATTAATAATCTACTCAAGTGTCGCACAGGGAAGCGAGAGAGTTATTCCAAGGAAAATCGAACCATTCATTCTACGCCTCCTTATTCTTCTAAATTAAAATCTTCTCATTTTTACCATTCGTCAAGACAAATTTTCCCTATTAATCAAGAGTTCAGCTAACAAACAGGGTTGCTTTAAATCAAGTTTAATTAAAGAACGCCTATCCAAGAGCTATTAAAATTTCTTTCTCGACGTGTTACAAACCTCGAAATCCGCTTCATCGTCGTCTCGTTATCAGTATATGGAAATCCATGGAAAAAAAAGGAGAAAAATTGGGGCATCGGTTTGTACCGATGCATTCGTGTTTCCCACGCTTTGTTACCTGCTTTTCATTATGGATCCAGATTACACAGCCGAAAGAATAATGCATCGAAGCGATACGCAATCGGTAATTGGTGAACCACGATCGAGGTTTGAAAAATTAGGTCGAACGAGCACGATGTTCTTTCTTATTAGGCGATATCGATACGATGATGAAGGATTAACCAGACAGAGGGTAGATATAAAAGCACAAGGGCGGAGAGGAATTATTTTGGAGAAATTAGAATGATTTGGCTGGAAGAGATAATTACGATTGCTCTATACTTACATCTTTCAATTTGATACACGGAAGATAATGAAAAATACCAAAAATTTGTAATTGATATATGGGCTATTTAATAGATAATACTAATTACGAATCGTTGCACGATAACGAGCGGTATCGCGATGATTACGCAAACGCAACCCATTTCAATTTCGTTCAGCAACGAGGCAGAAGCAATATCGTCGTCGTTCCGACGGAATAAGAAGTTATTACAGCTCGTCGAGATATCACGCTTTATGGGGAGCGCGATATGCATCTCGATTACTCGACCGTGCTTCTAATGAAACTCGAATTAAGTGGATTTCGAAGGGAAACTAAGCGTCTCTTCCTATTTCCTGTTATCGCTGTTTCTCCTGGCAATTCATTGAAAATTTGACGAAAGACAGATTCAAAGATAAATCTTGAATTTATTAAATTGATAACTTCCCCTTTTTGTTTGTTATTACCTTATAGTAGGTTGCGGTACGTATTCATTTCGTGCATGGAAACGAGAACACGTTCAATATGAATGATTCTCCAAGCCCAGGAGCAGCACATATTTGAAATTAAAATTATGTAAAATAATCATCGAATCAGATTAATCTGTGCGAGTGAAAATTTTCCAATCTCGACTTCCCACTATAATTATCCGTCCATGAAATTTCTGTAACTTTGCAAATTAATGCGTTACCATGGCTCGAGAATAAAACGATGCTGCGATCCGGTTTAGAGGTACGCGCGAATGGAAATGTGATACTACTTTGGTTAAAGGATCAGGATTAATCTGTGGAGAGTCCTGAACTCGGGGTCCCGGGATTTTCTTTGGCAAATCCTGTGGTGGATGACTGAATTAATTATAGCCGAGTAAGGAGAGATAGCTGACTATTAATTAAGTCGACCGATTATGTTATCAAGACACGCGCCGTCCAGTTAAATTAACAATATCAAGACCAAACAAGCGTTGGCAATTTTTCTCATTCGTTTCGTTTTGAAAAAGAAAAATTACCAAAAGATACCGATACCGATATAGAAATATTAATCGAACGTTCTTTGCTTATTTTTTATGAAATGACAATACAATTTGAAAATATCGAACAACTTTTTGCATATACAAGGAAGAGAAGATCGTGAGGTAACTTTGATCGAGGAAAGGTCAAAGAAAAAAAAGTTTGTTAATAACACCTAAGTTCCAACGGGTTTAAACATTTGCAAGTCGAGCGTAATTTTCGCGTAAACTTTGCTCCACGATAGCCTCGTATCAATTAATAAATCCCTTCTCGCGTTGTTTATGTTATCGAAAGATTCACAGCCCTCGGGCGAACACACGAGTCGCAATAATAGTTGACAGTGATAAGAAATTCAATTACATAGTTGACCGTGGAAAAGCACGCTCCCTCCGGGCTGTGTGTGTGCTAGCCGGTATTTGCTGAGGAAACGTAGCGACGTTGACCGAGCAATTATCAGAGAGAAAGCCGTGATCATCGAAGGAAGAATTCCGTCGGAACCGATCGACAATTTCTACTTCCCACTGTGCACCGTGCAAACATCGATTAATCAACGACAGAATAGCTGTCAAGGAAATAAATGAAAGGTGTCCGGTGTAGATTCTTGGAAAATTAAAGCGTTTCGAGCAACGCTATTTATCAAAAG